ATCGAAATCAGAGAGAACAATTGGTCAGATGTTACCGCTGGCGCCGAAGTCAGACATTTATTTTTATTCAAATGTACAGAAAAAACACAAGTAACCTTAATAATCTACCTCTGAGCTAATCATGTTAACAATGGATGTTCCACACATTAACAGCTTACGCACACACATACAATTACATAATTATAGAACACGTATAAAGTATTCAAAGTATACAGATAGGCATATTCTATAGACGCATACATGCATACATTCAGCCACCTTACAAAGTCGTGTGAGTTTTACCACCCACACATTACACATACATACAAGAAATGTTCTGCGTACCCATGTTACGTGTGTGTTTGTGTGTGTGAGGTGTATATATATATAAAACCATTTCAAGGAATTTGAAATGTGCACATTTGTTACTGGGGATCCCCTCCTTCTAATGACTCATTTAACATTATCGCTTTTGTTTTTATTCCTCACTGGTTCTATTCAAATAACGTCCATAAACAAAATATTTATAGTTAACCGTCCATCCTATTAGAGATCGGTAATAACGCTAAACTGTTATTAAGCAAATAACCGAGCTCATGGCTATTAAAAACTATTTATATTAATGATGTTATAAATTAGTATGCTGGTCTGATAGCAACCATTCCAAAAACCATTGCATCCATCTTATACATCTTTTAAAGTCGTTATCACCTAAACGTTAGACTCTCTAGCAGACGTTCGCCCAAGTAAATAGTTTGAAAATAGTCGGGAGTACATCAAGGTACTACACTTAGCCCTTAACTTTTTTACTGAAATATTTTTATAAAATAACCTATCTTTTTATATACGACATAGTTGCTTTTCGACTCATAACTCATTCTTAGAACAAGGTGGCTAAAAAACGTAGTACATTGTAGTAATACAAAGGATGTTACTAAATGAGCTGCCTCGGTGAACGTACTTGATGTAATACAATGAAAAAATTACATTTAAACCAGTTGAACATGCGAGTCACCTAGGTAGTAAACATTTGTCACCATGATATAATTCACACCAGAAATCTTTTATTCTTGTTGCAACTTTGGGAATAATAATTACCATTATTATTAGGTAGGGTTTATACCAGTTATTTAAAAATATTACGTCATACTAAGACACTAGACATAGCATAAAATCACAGTGAACTGTTAATTAACTGTGATTTATCATTCGATTTTTTTGCACGTAGGTTAGGGTTTCTACTTACTCACACGTTGTTGCCAATATTATGTTGTTTTACCCTATTTCGCCTATTTAACAGTAAATCTAGTAATTATTTTAATATATGTATAGCCACCATTCCCTACATAATAATAAAAAAAATTACTAGATTTACTCTCTAGCAGACGTTCGCCCAAGTAAATAGTTTGAAAATAGTCGGGAGTACATCAAGGTACTACACTTAGCCCTTAACTTTGTTACTGAAATATTTTTATAAAATAACCTATCTTTTCATATACGACATAGTTGCTTTTCGACTCATAACTCATTCTTAGAACAAGGTGGCTAAAAAACGTAGTACATTGTAGTAATACAAAGGATGTTACTAAATGAGCTGCCTCGGTGAACGTACTTGATGTAATACAATGAAAAAATTACATTTAAACCAGTTGAACATGCGAGTCACCTAGGTAGTAAACATTTGTCACCATGATATAATTCACACCAGAAATCTTTTATTCTTGTTGCAACTTTGGGAATAATAATTACCATTATTATTAGGTAGGGTTTATACCAGTTATTTAAAAATATTACGTCATACTAAGACACTAGACATAGCATAAAATCACAGTGAACTGTTAATTAACTGTGATTTATCATTCGATTTTTTTGCACGTAGGTTAGGGTTTCTACTTACTCACACGTTGTTGCCAATATTATGTTGTTTTACCCTATTTCGCCTATTTAACAGTAAATCTAGTAATTATTTTAATATATTATGTATAGCCACCATTCCCTACATAATAATAAAAAAAATTACTAGATTTACTGTTAAATAGCGTCTGAAAACAGCTTTTTTTTTGTTGGGACTAATCCCACCCACACGCCCACCACTGTAACTCCTGTACACCAGGATCCACAGCAGTGACCCACGAACACACCGAGTTATGACACTCGGGAAGTCCCAGGAAGAAATTAAACTGTCTTGGAACCCGCAACGAAATTAATCAGAAGAATATTGGAGGAGTTGGAAATACAGTAAATCCACTTCCCTCCTTAGCAAAGCGGGAGACAAAATGAAGTAAAATGGGCATACACCCTTTTAAACAGGGAAGCACCACGGCCACAAATATTACGGGTCCTACGTGAGCTATGTTTGATTTCTATAATATGTATGGCAGAATCGCCTAAACGCACGGAAATTCACCCTAGTTGAAACAAGATCCCCATAGTATACCGCCCCAGATGTCACCTGCAAGCTATTCAGCATTATATTACGTTCATTATACCAAAGACTACATTCCCAGAGGATATGATGAGCAGACTGTTCATAGTGAGAGTTAGGTGTTGAGCATTGACACAATGGTGACTCGACTAATTTAAATGAATAAAGCTTGCTCTTAAAGTTACCATGACCCGTAAGAAAACAGCTTATTGGCAACAACGCGTGAATAAGTAGCAACCCTAACCTACGTACGAAAAAACCGAATGATAAATCACAGTTCACTGTGAGTTTGTCCCATGTCTATAAGACACTTACAGTTTTTATACACAGAAAGACACTGGAATCCGATTTAGATATCCGTATTGCACATAGTTGTTGGCCATTTCTTTATCAGCAACATAATATTGTCGAAGTGATGTTTCTGTGAACTGCTATTGAGTGGGCTCTGTATTACTTGTTCATACACCTCTTCTTATACAAAATTGCACCTTATCACTTTCAAAATAAACCACATTAACCTGCAGGTCTTCACAGATCGTTACTTTAATGCAACGTCCCTGCGTTCATTCAAATAAGAGTAACACTTATTGCTATCACCATATGTGTTATATTAGAGTAATTATTTATTTAACGTAGTAAGCACTTTAATGAAAATGTTCTACACTGCAGTCCAAAAGTTTTAAACTTATTTGTTTTTAAACAAAGAAAAGATTGCCGACGTAGCAATAAAATCATATTTTATGATCTTGTACGATTATTTACATAAATCAAAAGGATTATCATTATTTTCTTTTAATTCTTTGTTTCCGTCGGGTATTTTCTTTTATGTTATTTTATTGAAAATATTTCATAACTTTCGACCTAATTAATAACACAAACATTGATTGTTATATGGACCACTATTGTTTTGTCCATATTTGTTCTTTTGATAATGGCTTTAATAATAAAGTATTATTACTTATTTGTTAAACGCATAAAGGCTCAAAATTACTACACCTTTGCTGCAAAACAAGACACTTCTAAAAATTAAATAGAAAAATCTTATTTTCTTTTATGTTATTTTATTGAAAATATTTCATAACTTTGGACCTAATTAATAACACAAACATTGATTGTTATATGGACCACTACTGTTTTGTCCATATTTGTTCTTTTGATAATGGCTTCAATAATAAAGTATTATTACTTATTTGTTAAACGCATAAAGGCTCAAAATTACTACACCTTTGCTGCAAAACAAGACACTTCTAAAAATTAAATAGAAAAATCTTATTTTCTTTTATGTTATTTTATTGAAAATATTTCATAACTTTGGACCTAATTAATAACACAAACATTGATTGTTATATGGACCACTACTGTTTTGTCCATATTTGTTCTTTTGATAATGGCTTCAATAATAAAGTATTATTACTTATTTGTAAAACGCATAAAGGCTCAAAATTACTACACCTTTGGTGCAAAACAAGACACTTCTAAAAAATTAAATAGAAAAATCAACATAAATCAAACGGATAACTTCATTAGAGTTCGTCAAACTCTTTGAACAGAATGCATGGAAAATGCGTTAAAATAACAGAAAAATGAGGTAATTTTAATTAAGCTAAAATTCAAATTAACTCACATTGTTCAAGTCAGTTTTGCTCCAGTTTTTTCATCAATACATATAAATTCATGTCTTTTATTCCTTCTGTTGCTTCCAAACTTTTGACCAGCAGTGTACATATAGATGTAATTAAGATACCAGAGGGTAGGTTTCAGTTTTGTCTCAAGTATTGTACAATGGTTACAGGTGTGTTGTCTGAGTGTGCTAATTGTATAAAAATCAATGTTGTGCCAGTATAAAAAAAAATGTTTTGGATGTATCTTTGTGTCTCTATTATTGTTGTTTGTCTACAATCATGCTCATTACATAAAAAATACTAATTAAATCTTGAAGGGCCTCCATTATGCATGTTGCCTAAGCCTATTATTGACAAGACAGGCTGAACGGGTGAACAAAAAGATCCTGTTAATTAATTACGGTAATTGAAAATACATTAATTTAATTTCATACAAAATCTTATTTACCTTACCTTCTTACCCTTTTTACTAACTACCAATAAAAACAAATCGTGTAGGTAGATTATTTTAAAACTAAATGTTCAAATTTACTAACAGATTTTTAGTAATAAATATTTTAGTAATATAAAATATATGCGATGACATGATGATACATACTTTCAAGCGTTTGACACTATAGGGCTATCAAACGCCTGCAAATATGCAGCATATCCTACAGCATGCCTTGACGCTTTTGTACCACTTTGCATGAATATTCAGATTGTGAAGAAGCGCTAAGCATGTTTTAATAATAATTACAACATAATTTCTTCTGCTTCTCACCTGAACAACACTTCTAGGAAATTAGGTTTGAGATTGATAGATTGGTTTTTTGTCGCATATTGAGCTTTACCTACTTGGATTAAAGTTCAGTTGTCAAAATAATTATGTACTTACGACATTTTATTTAATTACATATAGTGATGGGCTTGATTGTTATATGTATTTCCATTTTTATGAATTGTGTATAATTTTGTTTGTTGCATACCCACAGATCAAAATCAAGGAGGTTATCCCCAAGGTGGATATCCACCACCAGGCGGGTATCCACCACCAGGTGGTTATCCTCAAGGTGGATATCCACCCCCTGGCGGTTATCCACCACAGCCAGGTTATCCAGCTCAGCCACAACCCGTTTACGGTGCAGGATATGGCGATGTAAGTTCTTTCTTTCTATTCATTAATTAATTTATTTTATCTCGAGAACTGGACTTTTTCCGGTAAAGGGAACCATATCTCCAAAGAGCGTGACGTGTATTGCAAATGCGTAACATTCTTACATTCACCATTATAATATTAGTTTCTATTATATTGTCTAGAAAATCAATCGGTATACACACGTCACACGACTTACGTCAACGAATCAGCCCCCCCCCACACCCCCCCCCCCTCCCCTCCTCCTAGTGTGACCATATATTTTGCTCTAGAAATTATTAAAATACAATAGCAGTTCCAAAATTAGTTTTATTACCATTTATTTTGAATGAAATCAATATCAAACTTGAAAAAATTAATAAAACGATTAATTGTATTACTGTCAATAATTAAAAATTTCGCGTTTTAATGTTTAGATTTATTAGGATTTGAAATGTGACGTCACGTCACGTCACGTCTCAGTATTGTATAATGTCAACATAATTGTGTATGTTCTGATCTGTTGTATGTTACTGTGCCTATTAAATAAAATAAAATGGGATTTTACGGTCCGTACACCAGGGTTTTAAGTTATAGGATAAATCAGTAAACTCGGGGATAAATTTAACTAACAGCATGATACGAGACGTGTATAACGTGGCTAGTACAGGGATTCCGGGTTAACTTATGTTTATAATATAACGTACATATAAATTCGAACTTTTTTTTAAATTTGCATACAATCTAGTGAATAATTATTTCCCAATAATCATTATTGTTTTGTATAGATAGACTATCACAAATTATATCGTAATATATAAGTCTAAACAATATGTACTGATACAAGATAATCTTAATCGATAATCGTAATCCGTATGTTTATAAATGTATACCAACCGATTTATTGAAGAAGCCTAAACGTCGTGACGATAAAGTTAGGACAGGGTTCATATCTCCGCTGGGAGGGGTCCAGAAGGCGATAACTACCTGGACCCCCCCCCCCTAAACTGGAAGCGCAAAGAGGGCACACCGTGTGGTTTTAGTCGGTTCGAGTCCGACACACCGCCTCGCCGAACGGAGAACCCCGGCGGGGTGACGGTCCGAGGGGATTTCCAGACGTTAAAAAAAAAAGAGTTCATATCTCAGTAATAACAGCTGTTTCCGAAACCCTCCCATTTTAGGCCCAGTGTGGCACACCGTGTGGTTTTAGTCGGTTCGATTCCGACCCACCGCGTCGCCGTAAACCTCCGGTGGGGGAGGTGACTCGAGAGGGTTTCCACATGAAAGAAAAGGCATATATATAACTATGAGGGCAGCCAGTGCATGATCTATTATTATATCTCCATTATGATGATATTGTCCGTGTGGTGACGGATTAAGAATACGGAATGTCACCACCCCTATTCATCCCGTGGGTACCGTAAGAGACGACTAAGGGAACAAACTGCACAGGACAACAGCACTGCAAAAAGAAGGAAAACTTAAAACAAACCCTTTACCAACCCGTCTAGCCAGCGTGGTAAAGTAGGCCAAAACCTCCTTTATAAGGAGAGGCCTATGTCCAGCAGTGGACTGTTGTGGGCTGTTGATGATGATGATGACTATTATATATTACTGACTGACATTATAAAACATACCAAAACAAGTTTTACCCGCGATTTCGTCCGCGTGGTGGTCGATATCAGACAACGTAGAGGATACAATGAATCAAGATTATGGGATTATACATATAATTTTGCAACTATTTTTAAGGGTAGTTTTGAAAAATTTGTACCAACGTTTTTTATTCCTTTTAATAAAGAGTATTTACTGTGAGTTTGAAAACGCTACTACAAAAAAAATAACGAAGTTCCATATTAATTTTCAACTCATTTTGCACCCTTAGGGTAGAATTTTTAAAAATCCTTTCTGAGTGCACACCTACTTCACCTAATGTATATTTGTGCAAAATTTCGTGCTTTTAGACCAAGCAGTTTCAGATTCCCCGTCAGTTTCTTCTTTTATTGATATAGACTAATACTCGTGCTATGCTCTACAAATAGACCCAGTAGTGATTTTCAGTGCCCACCGTAATAAAAATATGTCTACATAAAAAAATATTGATCTGGTTGGCTTCGTAATTCATAAGTTACGTCTCTGGGCTAGAATGGTGCGATATAAATATATTTCGTGAAGCCCTAAAATGAAATGATGAGTTTGCGACTTGTGAGTTTTACTCATCTATTTTCTTATAGAGCATATTATATTTAGATACTCATGGTAAACCATTCTAAGCACACCACGCATCTATTTTAGATAAACGTGTGGTGTGCTTAGAAACGTCGTGTGCGTGTCGAGCTAAAAGCTCACATTCGTTCTTTATTGACTTACTTTGAGACACTTGTTATATTTAAAGGCAACTTGTAAAAACTGCGAATATCATAATGTCACTTATAAAAGTTATTTGCTTCGCCATTTTACCGAATATTATGTTACAATCAATTTGACAGACTAAGCGGTCAGCTGTTTTCGCTCTGTTTGTCATATTATACAACAACACACCTATTTTTATTATTATATTTGTTCTTTGTGAAATTTATTGTTGTGTACAATTTAATTTAATTACAGTTCGCACAAAAAATATCTTTATTAAATTTTATTATAACACAATTACGGTCAGTTACCTTGTCTGTGGAATTCTCTAGTATTCTCATCTTTACGGGCTACGTTTAAATATATTTTACTATAATTGCGGCTACGCTCACGGTAATGTAAACTTTGACAATAAATTCGTGTAACCCGCAGGAACATAACTGTTTTTGAGGTTGAAAAGTACCTCAAATTATCTTAGCTTCATTCAACGTTTCTTCTAAATTTCATGTTGAACGGTTAACTAGTTAAAGCGATGGAAGAGCAACAGACAAACTCTCATATATTTTATAACAGGATAGGATTATTGAGACGTGTTTACAATTTTCGACACCCCTAGTAAATTAGTAGCAAGTCGGTTATAAGCGAAAACTCGTCACGCTAGTGCAACTTATCATAAACGTGACTCGTCATTTTCGCAATTTATACGAACCTTATGCACTATAAACGTATAACTAACTAATCCGTTACCGCTGGCGTGTCATCAACTTTAAACAATAACAATACCCCCGTTCTAAGAAAGAGGCCAGCGTTGGTCGAAGACCAATGCCACTGACCCTTCAGTCCCATAATCATTCGTTAGTCAAGGTTAGTAGTACACATAATTTTTTAGTTGACTTTACGACAGAGTTATTTTTCTCGTATTTAAAAAAAAAAAAATAACTTTTAAACATAATTATATGTAAAAAAATAAAGTTATAAATGGAAATGAACATTATGTTGTTATATAATATTAACAAATATTTGATTTAAAAAATCACTATCTCGCAAGATAGCCCTTGAAGTTTGCGTTACGCAATCAGACGCCATGTTGTCTGGACTGAACTCAGACTGGATGACGCCACCGTGATTGTTGGGTTCTATATGTTGTGTATATGCAGTACTTGGCAGGGGCGGATCTTGAATTTGTGGGGCCCTGTGCTAATACTGCTTAGGGGCTTGCGCCGCGGTTGCGGGGCCCTCGGACTCCGGAATGAGCGCTAGGCTCGACGAGCACTCTCGGCTCCTTCTGGAGAGCAACGAGAGGATGAAGGCTCTCCAGGAGCAGCTCAGTCGGGTGGCCGAGGAACAGTAACGCAGCTACGCCAGTGTGGCTGCCGCGGGGCCGCAGCGGTAATAAACCGATTTCAAAAAACCTTCCAATGGAAGGCAACATTATCAGCGAGTAAAATAGGCTACTTTTAACCGCGATATGCGGGCAGAGTAGCGGGCAAAAGCTAATAGTTTGTAAACTGATATTTATTTTAATCATTGTCCTTTTCAGCCAGGATACGGCTCTCCTCAAGGCTTGGGAGAAGATGGCGAAGTCAAAGGGTTCGATTTCACTGAGCAATCCATTCGAAGAGGATTCATCCGTAAGGTAAATTATGCTTTAAAAAGTATTTTATTAATATATAATTTTGTGTACATACGCGGATTAATGCAATCATGGAATTATACCATTTCGCTATAAAATGAAGAATGGAAGAAAAGGACTCAAATTTTAATAAGGTTAATTATATCATGACGAAATTAAATACATAAAAATTAAATGTACATACTGCGTGAAAACGATTTTAATTTTCATAATTTTCAAATACCACACATACATATACTACTATATGTATGTGTGGTATTATACTATATACTTATACTAGATATACATACATACTTTTGGCACACTGAGGTAAAAAACGTACAGAAAAGTACTTCTTGGAATTTCTTGGTTGTTCTTTATAGATGTAACACACGGGTAAAATGCGTCATATTAATTTTTTTGCACGCTAATTTATTTGTATTCTGGTTATTACAGGTGTACTCCATCTTGATGTGTCAGCTCCTCGTGACAATGTCCTTTATCGCCCTCTTCTTGTTCCACGAACCCACCAAGATGTGGGCTCAAAGAAACTTTTGGCTATTGTGAGTATATCATCAGTATTTATATAGATACTAATATGGTGTCAGTGTCAAGTTATTAAATATATTATGATTAGATACAGAATATCTTCATATCTATCTCATTCTTCTTCATATCTATTCATATCTATCTATCTCATTTCACGAGACAATACAAATATGTTTTCTTTCGACTTAGAGGTTACTTTTATGTGATGGAAAGTGACTACTGCCGCCCATGAACAAGCAAGCACATCGCCCACCGACCGCTGGCACCCGGGACGTACGGCCTGAGGGCCGCTCTGATATCTTTTGAGTCTAAGATATTTCCTTTAATAATATGGTGTAAAAGGCAGTTATAATTTAAATTAAATGATAAACGTATCAAATGTACTTGATTAGATAAATAATAATACTGTATTGTTTAAAATAGCTTCGTAAATAACCCATGTTTTTGTAAAATTTAAAAGATATAAAAATGGTTACTATGGGTATCCAGATAGTTAGACATATATACTAAGGCGGACTTATTTGTCGATTTTTTTAAAATATACACCTTCGTAGTTCATTATTTTGATCTATCTCATAAGCGTTTGCAATGTGAGCATACAAAAAAAAGTGTTTTATGACATCACATTACAAATTTTGGCAATTCTCGGTTTTTCTCTACTGTAATATGCATGTATTACACATATAAACCTTCCCCATGAATCACTCTCTCTATTGATAAAAGCCGAATTAAAATCCGTTGCGTAGTTTAAAAGATCTAAACGTGCAGGGGGTGAAAGAGATACTCATGCTAGCACTGTTTCGTAGTTTGCAATATTGCAACAATTTTTAATTCGTGTACATATCATATTCGTCTTGAAACGACTTGACCAATTTGAATAATTGAAAAAGTAATTTAGTAATTTGCATCTAAATATATAACCTAAATTACTAATTGATTTATTACTATTTATTCTAATAGGATCAATTTTTGTTATATTCCATATTCTAGTTGACTAACAAATGGTTATTATAGCTAAACTATAATATTTAGATGCGAAGTTATTTGTGCGCATTGTCATCAATGCGCACAAAAAATTCTGCATCTTAAAACATTTGATTGTTCGATCGAAATATATCAAATGTTTTAATATCAATAGTTTTTGCAGCGCACTCAAAGATAGCAAATATTGTTGACAAGGATTATACCTGGCTTTAAACTATCGTCATTTTTAAAAGTAATTAATAATGTTTTTAAAATCAAATATAGCCTATGTTTTTCGCTGATAATGTAGTGAAAGGTTTATACAAATCGGTCCAGTAGTTTCAGAGCCTATTCAATTCAAACAAACAAAATCGAATCTTTCCTCTTTATAATATTAGCAAAAATAACATAATTAGGACCAACGATATTTCCCCATCCCATTTGTTATGGGAAATACACCAGGAATTTCGCCTACTTTATTTGATTAGATGAAATTTCCCAAAGTATTCAATTGAATAATCAAAAACATTGTCGTGAATTGCTATTTTTTCAGTTTGATAAAACAAAGACGCTTATCCAGACTTCCATACTTTTATTATAAACTGGCTTATGTCCGCGCCTTCTTCCGCGTTAAATTGCGATTTGGTGCAGAGAGAAATGAAATAACAAAAAAGGAAATAATTTGCTGTGTACTACTTCTTTTTCCTAGGTCCCATCTATGTTTTTACAATTCATCAAAATACGTTCTGCGGTTTAGGCGTGGCGGTGTAACAGACATACAGAGTCACTTTGAGAGGTCATTGTTCTATGTGTAATGTATGTAAATTGAGAATATTTGAAATTGATTTGAAAGTGAGTTTGTTTATCTGTAACGTGAGTAACATAGGAAACTTTTTAGCGCAATAGCCCGTATAGACGCGGGCGAAGCCGCAGCACAAAGCTTAACTAAAATAAAACATTTAAGTATTCGGTTTTGGAATACGAAATTTAACCATTTAAATTTTACTTTTTTTTATAGCTGGGTCGCGCTCGTTACGGTGTTCGTTTGCCTGATAGTAATGTCTTGCTGCCACAACGTGAGGCGGCAGGCGCCTATGAACTTTATATTCCTCGGGATATTCACCGTCGCCGAGAGCTTCCTTCTCGGTTTAACTTCTAGCGTTTACAAAGTTGATGCTGTAAGTATGCTTTTTTAAATTATTATTATTATAAAAGACAACGGCCGCATTAGGAATATATCCTGTGTCGCGGGGGACTTTACAAACATACATGAAACAAGTATTTGTGAAGAACACCCAACAACAAGTTGTGGATCACACACAGTGTCGTCCCATGTGGGGATCGGACCCACAACACTCAACGCAGTAGTAAGCGGCGTGGCGAACGCTTAAACCACTACGCCATACGTACATTCGACTATTTTGTGTGTATATCTTGGTACCTAATTCATGTGGAGAAGTGGTTGTAGTAAGAAAAATAATAATTTCACACATCTCACACACGGCAGTCTGATTCCAAACTAGACTGCTGATAAAACATACTTATGCATTTCTTAAAACATACATATTATAGATAAATTACACCCAGACACAACAATGATCGTGCTCATCACACAAATATTTTTCCTGGGTGGGAATCGAACCCACAATCTACGACTTAGCAGTAACCAACAGACCACTAGACCAACAGGCCCGTCAAAAAAGAAAAAATATGTTAAAGATTTAATATTGCTTAGCATAAAGTCTCTCTCTTCTCTCTTCTAAACTGAAAAAAAAAGAATTATAATGGAACTGCAAGCTGCATTGCTGCTAAAGGAATTAGTGAAAAACTTGACTGTAACACATGTTTATGTATGGATCGTTAAAGGAATCTTAGACTACCGTTAAGATTTCTCTATCTCAATACAAAACACTCTCTTCCCAGTTCAAGTAAAGTTCAAATAGTTAAATAGTAATTCTATTTTCAACATTAGACCGCCAGAATTACCAGTATAAAAAAATTATACCTCATGTGATGTTGCAATAGTAAAAAATTAGATAGGTTTATATCTTGAAAACGCTATTAGGTCGTTTACACTCGAGATAGCATATACCTACGTTATTTCCCTAATTTTTTAGCAACAATACCGTTTGTACTCCCTATTATTACGCAAGGTCCCTGTGAAGGTTTTAAGTCATAATTTATAATTTATTTATTATTATATTTTTATTTATACATGTCCTCTTTGGTCTACCTACCTTTAAAAAGAAACAACATTAACCAACCTTTGAAATTATATATTTTAAAGTTATTCTTACATAATTTTGTAAAAGTCACAATCAAGTTAGCGGCCAAAACTAACTTAGTTTGAAGTTTGACGCTGTGGAAGCGCTGTACACAAGGCTGTTTCCTAAGAGAATAGCACTCCTGATCACACAATTTTTTGTCTTAAATAGAAAATGAACTAAAACGTCCGCTAACATTTTTCCTGCGTGTTTTTTTGTTATTTTATTTTATTAGGGAAACAAACAGATACAAATTAAACCAAAAGAAATATACAGCTAATCTAAACACAATCCAAAACAGTTTCCACATATAAATATACATTAGCGCTACAACCATTTTAAACTTAAGAACTAAAATTTACAAATGCATAGTAAGAACACATATGCACATCTCCACAAGAAAAAAGAACAATTCAAAAGCAGCAAAAACATTTTAAAAACATTTTAGGAAAGACTCAATATATAGTAATTTTACAGATGGTACCTTTAGTTATTTTAGCTATTACTAGGAGGAACAAGACAGTCGTGGACAGATTTCTTAAATTTGGGTAAAGAAATATGGAACATATCTACGGAATCATCATTATGCAAATAAACGAGACCATTCATTGAGCGGCAGGATCTCAATATAAAGGCATTCCGCCTATAATTCGTTTTAGCAAGCGGCACATAAAATAATTGTGTTAATCTAATATACAACGTCTGGCTCAGCATATGTCTGGTAAGCATCAATCACAAACAAATCTATGACTTGTGTAGGACATAAACACTGTTTACCCTGGATAAGGCCTGTTTAGGCGCGGAGTCTGAGTCGATTCGGGGAGGAGCTGAAATCACATGGTGTCCGGGTCCTCCAAAGAGTGGGGCTTTTTAGTGGAAACACTACATGCTTCTTGCTCCTGTTTCCCCCTAGGTGTCGCAGATCTGAAGGGATTTTTTATTAAAAAAAAGGACACGGTTGTATGGTAAAAATAGTTGTAACGTAATAAATGTACTTACCCTAATTTTGTGTGATGAACTGAAGGTAATGATGATGTGTTGTGCCGCAGGTGATGATGGCGGTGGGTATAACAGCGGCAGTGTGCCTGGCGCTGACACTGTTCGCCTTCCAGACCAAGTGGGACTTCACCGTGTTGGGCGGGGCGCTGCTCTGTGCTGTCGTCGTGCTGTTGATATTTGGTACGTGTTACACTCAAGTTCTATATTCCCGAAGGCGTTTAAACGCTTACATTTCTCCAACTCTTCTTTAAATTCCACCTACGTGATAGATTAAAAATAAGGAGTGTCACCACCCCTTTTCATCCTGTGGATCAAACTACGCAGGACAACAGCACTGCAATGAGAAGGAAGACTTGAAACAACATTGCCGGTTTTTAGAAATAAGAAAATTGGAAGTACTCGGATATTGTAAGAAAAAGTAGAAAAGAAGGGGAGCAGTTCTTTCGTTGCCTTTCACCGAGTGAATTAGGTTACCAGACTGTGTCCCCCCCCCCCCTCCCCTTCTCCTGATTCTAGGGTTAGGGACTTAAAGGGCGTCAATACACTTGGGACTCTGAGTTTGCAGGTGTGCATCATTTATCATCAGGTGACCCACCTGGATGGATGGATTGGAGATTGACGGCCGCATGGCGTAGTGGTTTGTGTAACGGAATGCTACGTCAAAGGTCGCGGGTTCGATTCCTACTCAAGTCAAACAGTTTGTGTGCATGAACATTTAATGTTTGGTTTGGTCTGGGTGTTTCTATGTATAATATGAATGTGTTTAAAAGAAATATATATGTATTTATATCAGTTTTTTAGTACCCATAGTACAAGCTACACTTGTTTTGAGACTAGATGGCGTTGTGTGAATGTGGTAGAATATTTAAAAAACATGTAATCATAAGTTGGTTAAAAAAAAACGTGGATAAACATCTTTATTTTTTTTTATTTATTCCAGGCATCGTCGCAATATTCATCCCCCACAATAAGATCGTGACCCTGGTGTACGCGTCTCTCGGCGCTTTGATCTTCTCCATATACCTCGTGTACGACACGCAGCTCATGATGGGTGGCAAGCACAAATTCAGCATCTCCCCAGAGGAGTACATCTTCGCTGCTCTGAACCTGTACCTCGACATCATCAACATCTTCCTGTACATTTTAACCATCATCGGTGCGGCCAGGGAGTAGGGAGAACAGGGGACGTCGGTCTAAAGGAGTTAGTCACTGAAGTGTAGGCGGGCGATTCATTTTACACTGCAGTGTTTTGGTGTATCTTATTTATTACTGAAGATATTATTATGACGTTAATAACCAGAGATTCAGAGACTTATTATTGACATGGCGTCTTTTTTTTTCTTAATTCTTTCATAGTTAGGTCAACTCTTAAAACCCCTAGTGGGTAAGCAGAAGCATATTAAACGGCAACATTTTGCTAACTATTGTAATCCAACTTACATTTGTTATTTTTACAGATAAAATATTAAAAAATTACATACATCGTTAATAGATAGATCTAAACAAAGGTACCGCAGAGTAAAACTTCGTGCTGAAAACCCTGCCAACCTACCAACCGTGTTGCTCATCCCTTAACTTCTCAGGTACAAGGGATTTATTTAACGTTTATTGTATAAAAATATTCTATTCATACATGACATCTACTTAAAGTGTAAAACGAATCTCGTATTATTTCAAAAACTAGTGAAGTAAACACCAAAACATTGCAGTATGTAATTAACTATTCTTTATTAACTATTAATTTAAATAAAACGACTTTGCTTTAAATATTGATATTCGAATATATCCTCTATTGTATTAATTAAATTGTATTACTTCCTCAATGATGTTCATGTTGCAATAAAAGTGAATTTACCGTGGAAGGCGAAAGACCGTTGTCCCTACTGAAAACAATAAATACGACGTGGGTTCATCTAACATAGAAATATACATAGTTCTAAAGGCATATATATAGCATATTGTCATCTCTGTCTGTTTCATTTTGAATGTAAGAGATGGCATATCTTGTATCTGTGTAATTTACGCTAGAAGCAGTGCTTTTTACCTTTTGAACGTCGTTGTTACATAATTTAGAAGTTAAGTAAATAATATGATGAAAAACTTTTGGTAATCTTGTAAAAAAAAACACTAACACACATCTAATCTGTTTATTGAGACGATGGCGTTCAAAGGATGGTACTTTTTTCGGATGACTTATTCTCTATGATACGTGAAACATTATTTACTCACGATCATAGGGAATAAGGGCATTTATAAAGTATCCTACATAAGCTACTGCCTAAAATTTCTTCTTTCAATTGGCTTTCTTCAGTGCTATGTATATACTATGTATGGAAAGATACAGTTGACGTGTAGATGAATCTCGTTCGTAACTAGTAATCTCTTAATTAGATTAAAATTATGTGATGTATATTCACTATCCTATAGACTACTTAATTCTGTGCTAAAATTATAAGCTTATATTGGCCAGTAAATATTGAGGATTGTTAAATTATACACGAGTACCTGTTTTATTATTAACATAAGTATGAGTAATTTTTCAGGTTTTTTCTTGGTAACTTTAATAGTTTATTTTATTGCAACACTATTTCTTGAAATGTATTTAGAGCACATTGTTAATAATAAATCTAAAGCTGTTTTAGTAGACAAATATTGCAACGTCGACGTCTGTCTAAGTAAAGGTATCTATGTGTTTATTGCGTTCTTGTTCTGTATGTACCGGTAGTGATGTGTCAGTGTTGTAATCCACCATAGATACTGATGTGACTCATTTCATTTTACATCAATTAATATAGTACAAAAGAATACTTATCTGAATCTTAATAGATATTGTAGCCTTGGCCTTATTTTTACACGATTACAATAGTTTATGGAGTTAGTTATGCTACGATTTTTTTGTTACTTTCCTTTATTTAATTAAATGTAAAATAATAATTTATTATTTTTCTTTTATTTATACCTGTAAGTCGTAGACCTAACCACATGACATCCTAATAAGCTTTTACTTTTTTTGAACACAAAATTGAATTTAATAGTCTGTGCTGTGTAATAATTGCTACTAATAAGTAGCAATTAGATAAAACCTCGTTAACTGTGTTATTTTTATTAATGTTTGTATAAACAAACCAGCTGTGTATTTGCTTTTTATATAAAAATACCAAACTCATTAGCACAGCTCGAAAGGCTGTGCTACAGTTATAATAATTTGAAAAAAAAACTTTATGGCTTGCAACTGAACTACTTAAAATAAATAGGTATTACACATCACATTTGAAGGAATTAGATAAATATAAAAACCGGATGTATTATTCAACTCATACTATGGGTTTGGCTTGTGTGTTTATTACATTCTTCAGTATGTAAGGTAATCAAGTGAGATATAATTCACATTGTAACGACATCTCTTACACGTATGATGAACAATATGGTTTAATACTTTGGTCCATCATTTGCCTCTTTCTAAATTATTGTGTCACTTACCCAGATAATATATTTAAATATATATATTAATATCGCAATTACTTTGCACAAACCACAATTTTTGTTAAACAAGTTTAGGATAAACTAAATTAAATTGAGTTTTTTTTTTTTGACTAGCATAATGAATTGGCGGGAACGAACTATTTTTTGACAAGAATATTAAAATGGCGGTTTATAAAAGTTTATATAATCTATATTTTGTTTCTTTCCATCCCGCGAAAATGTCTTCGGTGTGAATCGTCTCTTCAAACTATGGTCTGGTCATCATAATACTATTTCTTGATTTTACTACTTAATATTAAATACAAATGTTAAAATAATGTTACAAGCTTGTAGTTATGTTCGATTCAAATGCAACTTGATCCTACAAATACGATTAACAGTAATTAAGAAATTATTTTATTTAATAATTATTATTTCAAAGTAAATTAGTGTTAAAAATATTAGAAAATATCACGAAATCAAGTGCGGTTAAGTGAAAAAAAAAAAAAACAGAACATCACAACGCATGGTAGTACCTAAAAATAGGTACAATAAAAATTATATTTTTGTAATAACGCATTAAATGTCTGACTATTCTTGTTATTTTTCTTATATTCCATTCTTTAAAATAAATATGTATATATTCGCTTTAAATAGTGTGTGGTGGTGTTATAATTCTTGGTAGTTGTAATCATCAAAACAGTTAACAAAAGAGAAATCAATAATATTGGCAATATTTTTTAATAAACTTGATTGCGTAACTGATAAAATATATCCACTGACCATGTTGAGATACTGGTCACATTTTATAATATGGTTCCATATCGTATAACTATATATACATTTATTCTTTAAATTAGTCTATCTAATACCTTTAAACGAACAATTCTTGTATATATTTATATCTATACGGAATCTTGTATGTCGGAAACGGCTCCAACGATTTTCATGAAATTTAGTATGCAGGTTGTTTCAGGGCCAGTAATCGATTTGCTTAGATTTCATTTTTTTTTTTAATTTACCATTAATAAATACCGAGCAAAGCTCATTGGTCATCCAGGTACTTTGCCTTAAATAAGCAAAAAATATACAGTCAAATAGTACCAACCTAAAACCATGTAAAAAGTCCATCCAAGTAATGTATTTCTCTTTTGATGACTGTAATAATATATACACAAAAAATTATATTATACGTATATTTAGGTAGTATTTTTAGCATAATTATCTTGTTATATGTAGATGTTTAGATTAAAAACTGTAATTCTATAAATTATTAACAGTATTCAGAAAAACAAATACTCAATAAAGGTTGTCCAATCGAAAAATACCTTCTCTTTTGCGATGAAATTATAAACGTGTATACATGTGTTAAATTCAAAACATGAAAATCGTTAATGTCACCTTGAGGCGATTACATTAGGTACATACTCGTATAAGTGAGTAAAGTTTTCAAAATGATGATGAACGAAATTTTAGAATAAAGCGATATTTATTCCGTTTTAAGATGGTGCTTGGCTCTGTGTTTGCAAACCGTTTTCTCAGACACAATATACAATAATCTACAAATGTTTAACTGTCTTCGTGTGTCTTCAAACAAGTATTGCGTATTTGTGCAATTCGCGCAATGTGATCGTTGCGCTTTCTATCGTCCAGGCGTCGAACTAACTGTATACAAGTCTTGATCTTTAAGACAATAACAAAATTTAATAAAGGTTGATGGATGCAAATAAAAAATAACATTGTACATAAATTTATTCTCGCAATTTTTGCATTAGTTTACGAGCTATTATTTACAATAATAATTTCTAACTGTCCAGTAGCGAATGTAATTTGTTTTTTAATATACATCGATTCTGTCTTGAATATTAATACTCATAGCTATCTATAACACTTTTAAATAAGTATATATGTACTTCAATGAAATTGACAATAAAAGAAATATGTAAATTGAACAAAAACTTAACTGTTTATATACTACATACATGCTATAGTAATTCTATAACATGTTACTATAAGAATATACACTACGAACTCACATTTAAAAAGTCAGCAATGTTGCATTGCGATGTGTCACAACTCCTGGTCTTTCTTCTTAGATCTCATTAGATACAAGGTCTTAATAGACCTATTGTGACCGAACACCGTATTTTAGTCATTTGCGTCATACCATTTCTTCACCATTCATTCCCCGAGTTGACTCATTGCTAACGTCAGAGCAGTAAAGTATTTTATTCTTAGGTACGTGAACATTTTTTTTTCTCTAATATTTTTCAACTGGCAAATGTTAATAGTTAAACATAAATAAATATTTAAATTTGAATCACTAGTTTTTTTTAATAATATTTATCATATAAAACAAAAATACAAGCAATATGTATTGAAACGTAACACGAACATATTATGTCCAAAAAGGTTTGTGGACATAATATAGACAGTCAGTATCGGATATTTATCGTAGTTTATCGCAAACATATTCAATATAGCAACAGTCAAACCTCCTCTGTGCCCCCAAACCCGCCCTCCCGCTTCCCTCCAGTTCAATACACTGTATATTACTAGACTAAGGTAAGTTTGTGATTTGACTATTTCTATGGCTGGGCAGTTACACGTATCTTTACTAAATTTATAGAAGTGAGGGTATGCTGCTGATACGGTGATTCAATAACTAACAATTTAGTTTTGTCCGAATTTATTACAAGTCCAGCATCATGAATCATCTTAAAAAGGTATTACAATCGGACTGTAGCTTCGCAAGTGCCTTTAGAGGGTCTTTGTCAGCTACCACGATGCAAGTGGCGTCAGCAAACTGATAGCATGTACCGTTTTTAAAAGAGATGCATATCGTTCACAAAGACACGAAGTGTAGTGGTCCTAAAACTGAGCTATGGGCCGTGGCTTAATTGTATTAATAAGCATGTTTAAAATTTTTACTGAAATTCTGCGGTTTTGACACGGTCAGTTAAGGTACAGTTACCCCTTACAGCACAATTACTAATTCTATTCATGATTTTTTTGCGATCTAAAACATCGAATGCGCAAATGAATTACTGGTAATGATATTGGTAACTTCCTTTTCTCTCGCTTTCCATCACACATCACTCCCACATTGCATGTGGGAGTGATTTGAACGAGGGAACGCTGTTGGTTTCGTCCAATGAGCTCGCAGTGCTAGAGTTGGCCTTCAGATGGTAGGTGACATTTCAAATGTCAGATCATTTACATGAAGGTGTGGAGTGCAGGATTAACAATACGGAGTGTCTCCACCCATATTAAACTAAAGCACTAAAAAGAGAATGAAAACTGGAAACAAACCCTATACCGACCCATCAGACCAGCGTGGTATAGTAGGCCTAAACCTCCTTTCTAAGGAGAGGCCTATGTCCAGCAGTGCATTATTAAAGGCTGTTGATGATGATGATCTTAATGCAATCATATAGGCAACATTTTGATGTTACGCGACAAAATGCACAAATACAGAATAAGAATTTAGATAAGTATAGGTATATACTTCCGTTTGTAGGACCTAATCGATTTTATCAAATATTCATAATAGCACTCGCCCAATACGTAAAAGAGCGATATGATAACAGTCATACCCTAACAGCTATTCACACAATTTGTTCAGAAGCATTATCTTATCAGTTTAACAGATAACTGCGGATATTTTAGTCTAAATCGGCACTATCCGAGCATACACTCCTTTTCATGGCACAGGTAATTTTTTTTGACAATTTTTGTATTCATCGCTTAAAACCAATGTGACACTGTCACTGGGTTTAAATAAAGTATGTTGGTATTAATCTTCTGGTTCTAAAAAAGGCTTTTGTTAAAATATTACAGTGACTCTAAAACGTTTAAAATTAATTGTGCGGGTAAAATTAAGTGAGTGAACTATTTCATCAAACGAAGTCGGATTGTTAAGTGTGTTTTAAAAGAGACCAAGTGTGTGTGTTCGTTTCGTGAACAAAATTTTATTGCCATATAAAAAAAAAACGTGCGTCAGATAAGGTAAATGTGTCGTGTTGAGGCATTTTCTACTTTGACGATGGTTTTTAGGACAATTAAAAAGGATGGTGCTAGAAATAGCAACATTATTGTATGATGGGTGTAAGACGTTATCCTACAGCAAATTTATTAAATTTAAAGAAAAAAATCGTTGTTTTTAAGAATAACATAAAAGGTAGGTTCGAGTAGGTAAATATTGAGAATGCACCACCTTAGCCCCATTTCGATTTATCAACAGCGTTCATTTTGATGGAATGTGTGTTGTGTGGAATGTGTGATCAACCAACAACTGAGAGAACGCCTGCTTAATGATAAGTTGATGTACATTGGAAGATGTAACAGCATCCTGGCCAGTCCTTTGACGGATACAGCTAATGATATTTATACTTTGTATTTTCAATATTTAAGTTAAGTTTAAAACAAAAATGGCTATGATGGAGCTACGTAGTCATCATTGTGGCTAAGCTCCGTAAATAAAGAAAAAAAAAACAGCGTTCATTAAGACATAGGCCTCTCCTTAGAAAGGAGGCTTTGGCCTACTATACCACGCTGGCAAGACGGGTTGGTATAGGGTTTGTGTCAAGTTTTAACTTCTTTTTGCAGTGCTGTTGTCCTGCATAGTTTGCTCTCTTAGTCGGGTCTTACAGCACCCACGGGATGAATAGGAGTGGTGACACTCTGTATTCTTTATAGGTCATCACGCGAATAATTTCTATTAGGTACTTTTCATGCAGTAATCGACAGCCTATCTCCTACTGTTGAGTGACCTTTTTTGTTTATATTAATTAAGTAGCTGATATATTTTTATTTATTGCATAGGAGGTAAACGAATATACAAGTCCCTTAATGATAAGTGACTACGTGTGAGGTGGTTTTTTTGGATAACCTCACTAACTTGGTGAAAAACAAACCAGTTTTCTGTGAGGTCGTAGTACCTATCACTGGTCGAACCGGCCCATTTCACATGTTACATCTACATTCATACAAATAAATAAAATTGAAGTGTCGGTTTGTAATGTAAAAATAGTAGGATTTTTTATGCTCACACGGTTATTTGCACGATACCTATACCTGACAACCAGTTTTTTTTGTCTGTCTGTTTGTTTGTTCCGGGTAGTCTTCTAAGCGGCAGGACCGATTTTCATAATATTTGACTACTAGGTAACTTAGGCTATTTTTCCTCTCAGAAAAACCCACTAGTCACGGGTACCAGCTAGTTGTTAAATACCTTAAAGGTTTATTAACTGTCAGTAATAAATCTGGTACGCTAATATCGTCTCTACGCATTGAGTCATCAGTTAACTCATATCACTCTAAAGATAAAAAAGCGTTTTGCATAATAATAAAAGTTTTGATAAAGACAATGTTTCTGTTGTCATAACCAAACTATAACACTTTATCTTTACATCACCTGAAGGTCGACTGCGACAGAATGCCTCAAGGCATTAAGTCCATCTCTGTACAACATCTCCATTAAGTTTTAAAGTGTTTAGTTTGAGTAAATCACACTCAAACTAAACATTTTGAAATAAAATAAAGAAAAATACCTGAAAACAGTTTTTATTGTATTACTAAAAAAAAGCCTTTTATTTCTCGCTTTCCATAATCAGTTGCATGCAGTACAATGACAATTTTTAATCTTAAACATTTATATTACCTATCCAATTAATAATTTAATTTAGAAACAAATGAAACTGAAACACATTCTTAGTTTTTATACCTAATGTAAATTGATTCTAATTCATTTTTATAAATCAATATAAGTAAATATAAAAAAATAACAATTTAATAAATAATAAAATTACGAAAATGATTAAACAAATCCATAATCATAACTTTAATTGTTGATTCTATTAATTAGATATAGATTTATTCAAAGGTTTTGTTAGCAAGAACCCTCTCCATGAAAGGTAAAGACCTCCTCCAGAGATGACCAGTGCTCTCTATTCTCTGCCACTTGTGACCATTGAGTACCTGCTACTTTTATGATATCTTCCACCCAGCGTGCAATTGGTCTTCCTCTTCTTCTCTGTCCTAGTGGGCCTGTCCGTTGTGTTGTTTCTCTAGTCCATCGCTTATCTTTCAGCCTCTCTACGTGTCCAGGCCATCGCCATTTAAGCTTTTGTGAGTGACTGAGAGACTTTCTGACAGACCTGTGAAGCTTATGATGTGTCTTTTACAGTGTTTTTTGACTACAAATCCCACTCCATATAGTCCAGGCGTTTCTCTAATGTACTAGAAAATAAACTCGTCGTGTTCTTCAATCGTATTTCCAAGTTTTCTTACTTCAGAGAGACCAATAATATCAGAATTTATATTTTTCAAGCATTCCGTTAATTCTAATATTCGTGAATATGTTGACAAAGTTTTGACATTGTATGTTGTAATGTATAAAGTATTCTGGTAACTGTTTTTTGTGCAGATTGTTGATATTTTCTCTGGAGGGGTTTTAGTCGTGATCTTCCTCGGTGACCAGCCGGTTTGGAAGATGTTTTTTGTTCTTTGTTTCTGTATTTAGTATGTTTTCAATGTTAGAGTGGGGAGTGTTTTACTTCAGATTAAATTCTTAAAGTTAGAGGTTTATCCACAGAACAGAGAATACGTGAATATTCTCTGTCCTGGTGGGTTTATCAAGTACCTACCTGAGCAATTATTTTTTTAATGTGTTGTAGGTATCCGCTTTTGTGAAGCTTACAACAGTAACATTCTGTGACACGTGGGTTCTATATAGATCTAAGCGTACGGGCTAAGAAAAATATTTTCTAATGGATTAAAATATTTAAAGATTTTAAACCGACTTAAAAAAAGGTGAAGTTCTAAATTTGGCATTGCATAATTACTCGTAGGTCACATGAACAATTGCTATCTGCTATCTGTTGTATGACTCAACTAATGTTGCTCCATTCTGACGGAGTTGTGGCTAATCTATTCGCTAGTCAAATAGTCCTAATAGTAGGTAGTAACACTAATATTTGACAATCAAAATATAAGGCGCCATCTATATATAAAAAAGTGTGCGTCTCGGGACGCCCGAGAGAAGTGATAAGTTATAGTAATCTAAGTTGAACTATTGAATATTGAAATTCTTTAACTTGAGAAAAGCTTTGGTTACTACTTAAATTTTAATGTAAAGCGTCTGTCCGGAATACGGCTAGCGCTGTGGGTTAGAGTGAGCGGAGGAGCCTGCCTATAGCTGCCGTATGCGTGAGAGAAAGGGAAGCCAGACAGACTGGCGCCGTAATGCGTTACGTAACGAAACGGTTTACCCTCCCATAGGAAGTTATCACTTCAAAATGTTAAGTTTGTTTGCAAACGCTTCAAAAACTCAAAAGTTCTGCACGGATTGAGCTAAAATTATGACACGATTACAACCCGTTTCCAAGATTGTTATTATTTATTTTTCGCGCCCGTCTTGTACCTCATTTCCCGCCAATGTAACCACAATGTGCCACAGCGAAGCGTGGCAGGGTACAGCTATAGTCCATCAACGTCGTGCACGACCGTCCTGCAAGGTGACAGACGGTGGCGGGGACCAGGTACTCAAGATGTCAGCGGGTAGCGGGTGGTGTAGCGGGGAAGGGACACGCTTCTCTTCGTGTGTAGCCGTGTGCTAGAATGACGCGCTACCTCGCCCCCGCCACTGTCTGTCACCCCGTGGGACGGTCGCGCACGAGATTGCCGGGTTATAGTTATTTTATAAAAATTGTAATAAAGATATGATTTAGTCATTTTTTCATTATCCTGATCCTATCAGCCACGATAAGAGTATACAACACTCACTTTGATAACAATAACAATGATTCATATTTGTAATTATTCAAGGAAAACGTAACATAATTCGTGAGGGAGGGTTTCTTATGTAATAAATTGCGTTAATTATTATTTTTTCCTGTGGCAACTTGATGTCGTTCTCTTTAGTGGTCTCTCCAATCACATGACAAATACTATCTTGACTTCTTCGAACTTTATCAATCTCATTTCCGTTTCCTCATCTGACCATTTACCTTTTTTTTTGTTTTTTTTTTGTCACTTTCGTAGTCGACCGAGTTCGTAATCTCGGTGCAAAATTTAATCCAAATCGGTTCAGCCGGTCTGTAGTAAAAGGACTATTTATCGCCATGTACTGATGTTAATTTCGTTTCAGTCCACAGTATACATGTCGCCCCAGCCAGTTGGTTACGGCGAAGATGGCCAGGTCAGCGGGTTCGACTTCACCGAAGCATCCATACGGAGGGGCTTCATTCGTAAGGTAATTTTACTTTACACCTGTTTTATAGTTTACCACACGCCTACCACTTTAACTCCTGTACACCAGGATCTACACAACAGTGACCCACGAATACACCGAGTTTTGACACTCGGGAAGTCCAATTAAAAGTTTAAACTGTCCTGGAACCCGCAACGAAATCAATCAGAAGTAAATTTGAGGAGTTCTAAATATAACAAAAACCACTATAAAGTTATAAATGAAGTTAATGTTTTATCCATTGCAGGTGTACGCCATCTTGATGTGTCAGCTATTAGTAACGTTTGGATTCATCACTCTCTTCGTGTACCACGAGCCCACCGGCCGGTTCGCCCGGTCGAACCCTTGGCTCCTGTGAGTATCAGAATCTTTTATTGATTTTGGAATTTCATCGGAGACGCTATCATAATAAATTAATGCCATCAAAAACATCACATCGACAGCCTTTAAAAGTCAACTGCTGGACATAGGCCTCTCCTTCGAAAGGAGATTTTGGCCTACTATACGAAGCTGTCAAGTTATGTAGACCAAAAATGAAATAAAAAAAGATCAGAAACATAACTTGTACAAAAATAAACAGGTCTCAAGTCTCGCAACGCAGTTCTTCTTTTTGACACCTTATTAGGTAGCTAACAACATTTTATAGTACTTACATAGTAACCATAATTAGTATTAATTAATTAAAAAAATAAAAATAAAATCTTTAATAAATAGAGTGATTTGGATTCTCAATTCAGTTTTTGATCACATACGATATGATCTTTGTATTTACTTTTATATCTTCTAGAGCACTTCTGAACTCAAACTCAATCTCAAAATACCTTCATTTAAAAAAAAAATGTTTGAAATCGTCTTTTATCAAGACTAAAATCATAGATCAACACACACTCAGCAATCTCTGTTTTTTTTTCAAATATTTAGCGAAATAAATATAACAAAATCTTTACATATCGAGAATTTGTTAGCTACATGCCTGTGCGGATCTACAACCGCCCGTTTCTAAGGGATTGAGCCTTATGAGGAGAAATCGTAAACAAACACACGGACACTCTTTTTTTAAGTAACAGGTTAATAGCATAATTAAAAATACCACAACATTGTTTTGATGTGTGCCAGTAAGTCAGTTATTAAGGACTCAAAGGCAAAGAAGATAAAGAAAAAAGCTCCAATAAAAAAAAAAGTAAAGTAAAACATAAAACTTGAAAAAAAAAACACACACACTAATCAACGTCACTTTTCCACTTCTAAAATCAATAATTATACAAATCTAAATGGCGGCCCTGTTGGTATATTGGTTGACTGCAGCAGACTGTGTCCCTCAGTCACCACTAACCACTACATCAACCAGGCTAGTCAGTAATTAAAGTTAGCAAGAATACTGCTAGTATTTAAAAATAATAGTTGTATTTATTTATTTTACAGATGGGTCGCATTGGGTGTGCTTATCGTCTGTATGATAGTAATGGCGTGCTGTGGCGAGGTCAGAAGGCAGACACCTTTAAATTTCATCTTCCTCGCAATATTTACCCTCGCACAGAGTTTCCTGTTAGGAATAGTCTCTAGCATTCATGCCCCCGAAGCGGTGAGTACTATTATTTATTTATTTACACATCATGCACATTTTGTGCATTGGCGGACTTAATGCCTAAGGCATTCTCTTTGGGTGATGCAGAGAAAACAGTAATTAGGTGCATTTTGGTTACAGTTAATTTTAGACAACCAAAACTTAGCTAACTTCTTCTTCTTGAATCCTAGACAACATTTGATAGTCAGAGACTGTACATATGTATATGTATAGCAATCAGGAACATACGCGACATCAGAAATAAAGCGAATTCAGATTTGTTTAAACGACTTCCAAAATAGGAGGAGATATACAATTTGGCTGTATTTTGGTTACCTCAGAATACCCTTTGAAAAAAAACATTTTTTGTTTGAAATTATTGTCCATTTGTTCTCATTCAAATTTGCAGAAAAAAAATCAATTCCATTAATTAAGTAATTAAATTACTTAATTTTCACTCTTAGAATGAATTGGTGGAATTGGAATTATTTCTTCAAATTGTAATAAACTGCATTCTTTAGAAATCCATTCTTTATTTCATTTAAAGTTTTCACTGTGTCTGTTGTCTTGTGGAAATGTTCAAAGCGCCGTGAGTGTTAACATCTACATTCAAACATAGTTCGATCATTCTCCAATGAATGTCATCATACACTACCATTACTTTGCAAATACGTGTTCAGCTGACATATTATTACTAAGATAACCAAATTAAATAGTAATCACATCACATCAACAGCCTTCAACAGTCTACTGCTGGACATAGGCCTCTCCTTAGAAAGGAGGTTTACAATTAGGTAACAATTAAATAGTAATACTCGTAACCAATATCAACCTTTGCACGAAGCCGTTAATTTTAGTCTAAGTATTAATTATTTCAATTTTCTAACAAAGCTTTTGTTCCAATACATTTGTATTTACTTTCCTTTCCTTTAATCAGCCTTATTTCCATTGCTTTGTCTTGTTTGCAGTACAGTACAGTATAGCCCAATTTTTCCATCTTTAATTAGTGGCCAGTCAAAGGCAGTCGTCTCTGTCTCTGTAACGTGATTGGGCCTCAAGTGTGAATGAGTGTCATTTTATTGCAGGTAATGATGGCAGTGGGTGTCACAGCGGCTGTGAGCCTGGCACTTACGCTGTTCGCCTTCCAGACCAAGTGGGACTTCACTGTCATAGGCGGAGGACTGGTTTGCGCAGCGGTCGTGCTCTTAATATTAGGTAAATTTTAACATTTTGACACGTTTTATTTGCTTTACTTGTAACTTACCATGTAAAGTAATCTTTGCACACACACCAATACATACATCATCATCATCAACAGCCTTCATACATACATATACCCTCACGAATTTTATTCCTGAAGAGGTAGACAGAGGCATACATATAAATTACTGGCTTTTGCCCGCGGCTCTGCCTTCGTAAATGTCGATTATCGCGGTAAAAATGTGCATCTCTTTCCTCAATGAATCAAAGTTTCATATTGCGGTTATTGATTCCCCATACACTCTTCCACACACAACTTCCACCCCTCTTTTCAACCCCTTAAGGGATGATTTCAATGAAAGGACATAGGGTAGTTCCCTATGTCCTTTAAGCGTGAAGAGGTAACAGACAGACAGAAAGACAGACAGACATACTTTTGCATTGATAATATTAGTATGGATATATACATTAAACCCAGGCACAGAACAAATAATAATAAAAAAAATCACACATCCTGAACAGGGCCTTCGGATCCTGGAATGGGCAGAGTCTGTACTTTGGTAACAAGACTGCTGATAAACATACTTATTAATTCTAAATACATACATTTTATAGATAAATTACACCCAGACACAGAACAAATGATCGTAACTATCACACAATAGTCGACCTGGGTGGGAATCGAACCCGAAATAGGTATGTTTAAATGATTTTTGTAAATGTTGGTATGAGAATTCTATCACCAATTTGCTTTGTTTTGACTGACTTGCTGACTGCACGAATGGCGTAGTGGTTTAAGCGGTCGCCACACCACTTACTAATACGCTGAGTGTTGTGGCTTCGATCCCCACAAGGGACGACACTATGTGATTCACAAATTATTGTTCTGGGTCTGGGTGTTCTTTGTGTCCGTTTCATGTATGTTTGTCCCCTGCGATACAGGATATATTCCTAATGCACGAGTTGTCTTTTTAAAAAAACCAAAAATAAAAAAATGGCTAATCTAATGATGAAAAGGATATAGTACCACCTTTTTCCTTACAGGTATTGCCGCAATCTTCCTTCGAGACAACAGAATTTTCATGCTTATCTATGGGTCGGTAGGCGCTTTAATATTTTGTATGTACCTCGTGTACGACACGCAACTCATGATGGGTGGCAAACACAAATACAGCATCTCACCTGAGGAGTACATCTTCGCTGCTCTGAACCTGTACCTCGACATTATCAACATCTTTACATACATGCTTATTATCATCTCCAGATGTTGAAGGGAAAACAGAAAATAGGATAAAAAGCTGGCTATATATTGTACATTGTAGTGTTAATAGTTTGAATAATATGTTATAATTATGTAGATGGAGTAAAAGTGCAAGTGCGAGGCCGTGGGCGGCGGCCCACTTCGCCCACGCCTAGCTACGCCAATGAGGAGGATCTTCTCTGTATAAGAAAAAAATATATATAAATCCATAGAGATATAAACATAGAGAGAAAACGAGGATACAACTGCTTGTATGGCAGCGATACGGGCAACGATAGAGATGGATGCCCGATATTTCCCTCAGTCTCTGCGCTGCTTAGCTAAGCTGCGATTCGCTATTTATTAACGTCTCATATTCGCCAGCGAACCACAGAGCTCGACTAGACAGAGCTAGAGAGGACTAGATCTCTCGTTGCCTAAATTGCAAGATTGGAGTCTTGTTCTCTCTAGGTTATATCTCTATGTTAATATCAATGGACATAGTATAGATGGCGCTACCGTGGCTAGAGTAGTGAAAGTAATGAATAAAATATACATTTTATAAAAGTGCTCTTTTTAAATAAACGGTATCTTGTGAGTACGTGGGCCTCTTCTCAATACGAGAGAATAAGGCTATACTTACTCTCAAATTTTCCAGGTTAGCAGACCAATCATAAACCTTCCGGAGCGTTATGAAGGCACTCGGTAGGTTTTTTCCTCGTTCAAGTTTTTAAAATTGAAATTATTGTTTGTATGAAGTTTTATTTTATTCCTACGAGTATTAGAAAATAACAAATATTAAACCTAATTGATCACCCCATCAAGTTTAATTGATTTTATTTTATTGAAATTTTATGCACAAACATAATATGTAGGCAATATATTTAATAAAAACGGCGGTGAAGTGCCAATACCTCCTGACAATTTTATCTTTAAGATTTACAATAAGTAAAAGGATAACATTAAAATAATTATATGTAAACGCCAAAATAATACCTCCGCATAGTCGCCTACTGGTAACGTTCCGTTCTCAGTAGGCTGACAGCAGTGTAACGTTGGATGACAATTTTGAATATGCTACACCATAAAGTATACATGTGGATGTACCTCTCAGCTGAAGTAACGTGTACTTTTTCTCATTATACTTTACTATAAGAAAAACATTAGGCATTTGATATGCCTAATAAAGCATAATTGACTTCATTTTAAGTATTTTTATTAAATAATATCAAATAAGTTTCTAAGTTCACCCAGTTGGGCATTATTGTCACCTCGCCGTCTATTATTATTTATATATAACTTCATAGTTTTAAGTACTACACTTTGTATATTTTACTAGTATCTAATAGATTAATTATAATTTAGTTTTGTATTGTTCAAAATAAAACAACTTAAAAATAATCGTTTTTTTTCATCGCGCTTTGCGAACGTACGCGAAGCAGAGTCGTAAATAAAATAATATACTTAGGAATCATCATCATCGACAGCCTTTACTAGTCCACTGCTGGACATAGGCCTCTCCTTAGAAAGGAGGTTTTGGCCTACTACACCACGCTGGCCAGACGAGTTGGTATAGGGTTTGTATCAAGTTTTCCTTCTCTCTGCAGTGCTGTTGTCCTGCGTAGTTTGCTCCCTTAGTCGCCTTTTACGACACCCACGGGATGAATAGGGGTGGTGACACTCTGTATTCTTAATCCGTCACCACACGGACAAATATACTAGGGACTAATATACTTAGGAATATTTCGACACAATTTATGAATAACTTGGGTCACTTATGTTTTTTTATAAAAAGATTACCGATTATACCTTTAAAAGTCATGTGAAAATAAATAATGTAATAGATAGTATTAGTAGTAAAGTAATAGTCGGTAGGTGCAAGGTCTGGTGGTCACATCTGCAACCAGCTTTGGTCAATCGGTCGTCCCCACTGCTACTTCACGACAACGGACAGTCTCCAAGCTGCAAGAGCTGGGGTTGGAAGCTCTCCCTCATCCGCCATACTCACCAGACCTTGCACCTACCGACTATTACTTTTTCCAAAATTTTGACAACTTTTTAGTGGGTAAAAAATTCAATTCCCGAGAGGCAGTACAAAATGCCTTTGAAGAGTTTGTTGCCTCCCGTCCAGCTGATTTTTACAAGAAGGACATCAATAAACTGCCAATGCGTTGGCAAAGACGCGTCGATTGCATGGGTGATTACTTCGAATAACAGAAATAAAAAAGTTTGAAAAAATAAGTACTTTCACTTATTGTTAACAAAACGGCAATTTCATAGGTAAAGACCTAATATTAATATGACCACCCTAAAATCATTGACTGTTTGTTCTTGTCGAGGTCAAGGGTAAACCGATGAGGGCATACCCGAACTTGCAAAACGAAGAATGTCGTTCCTGTACGTATCTTACAGTGGGAGAGTCATGCTTCGACACATAAGTATGGACCGGCACAACCAGACCTTACAGAACCGGCCTTACAGAAAACCACTGCTATTATTTCAGGGGGAAAGGAGTGCACCAGGGACTTCCTTTCTAGGGTATACCTGGTTCCCCGGCTATTAGTAACCGAGACGGCGTGCGGTTTTAGTCGGTTCGAGTCCGACATGCCACCGACAGGTGGTATCCGAGGGGATTTCAAAAAATTTGGAAAAAAAGAAAAAAAAAAAGGGGGAAAGGAGAGATTCCAACTCTCTCTCCTGATTAGCTCAACGATTAGCAACGCACTTTTGAATCTTGAGTTGCAGGTGTTGATAGGCAACGGTAGTTACTCACCATCAAGTTAACTGACTGCTCGGTTACAATCTTTTTACCATAAAAAACAGACACCTAGTGTATATACAGTAAATTTACAGCTGTGTTACATCGAACAGATAAAACGTTCAATCCAATCGTTTCGAAAGAATTAATGAGGGCCTTTACCACCTCTAAGTGTGTCTTAAACCCAATTCACCCTAAATACAGGTTATTTTAAATGAAAGGAACGTCTTACAAAGGTTACATTGGCGAAAAACAGATGGTCATTGCCAAAGCCATATATGGAAATGGAATTAGCTGTATTAAGGTTGGGACGCACTGCGAGCTCTTTGGTATTATTAAAGGCAGCTCACTCAACAATAAACGCAGGTGAAACAGCGGGAAAATAGCCAGTTACTTTATAAATTTTAAGCAGTTGATCATCAACAGCCTCCACTAGTCCACTGCTGGACATAGGCCTCTCCTTAGAAAGGAGGTTTTGGCCTACTATACGGGTTGGTATAGGGTTTGTTTCAAGTTTTCCTTCTCTTTGCAGTACTGCTGTCCTGCGCTGTTTATTCCCTCAGTCGGCTCTTTCGACTGATATCTACTTCAAAAAGATAAAAGAAGCATTAGGTTTCTGAAGGCTTCTTTACTGAAGGACTTGATCTCTGGTGCCACGACTGTCTTTGAAATTAAATTGTTTAAATGAAAAACATTGACATAGTTGTCCATACTATTAATTTATATCCTCCTTCGCTGAGTGTTGTGGGTTCGATCCCTACATGGGACGACACTTTGTGTGATCCACTAATTGTTGTTCTGAGTCTGGGTGTTCTTTGTGTCCGTTTCATGTAAAGGCCCCCGCGACACAGCATATATTCTTAATGCGGGAGTTGTCTCGAAAAAAAAGAATTTATATACATTTATGTAAATTCTTTTTTTTCTTTTTTTTTACCTACTTAATAGGTAGCAACAATAATGATAATCAAATCAGTCCTACAGGGGCTCACGTTAGTTTTATTCTCAGTGTACAAGTGTCTTTATGTAGATAATCGACTTAAATGAACACGAATCCGCAACATGATATAACAATAGTGTAGGCACTTGCCAACATAAATCTTATCGTACAATGTCCATCACAATTATCAACACATTAATAGTTTAGTTTTACAAAATGTCACTCGTGTTGGGACTATTCACTGTTGGTGTGATATTGTTCTTTTATAATTTGTTATGTAAGGACGCTAAACCCATTTTTGGCATATATGCCGTGCCGGGAAAGTGGTATTATTTGAAATATGTCTTGTTTGCGAGCCTCTATTATTTTAGAAAGGTAAGTATTTAAGGAGACATTTTAACTAATCTTAATTATACATTGTGTTTGACAATTCAATTAATTGACAGATAAAATATGTTAATGAGACAGAAATATGTAGATTAAGGAACATTTTAAGCCGTATCTTTTGTAGAGTATGTCTTTTTCAATGATTTTAAAAAAAGGAGAAGGTTCTTAATTCAAAACGCTGTCATTTGTGAACCAATTGGCAACATTATTTTTATTTTTTTCTGATATATACTTACTTCTTATTTGGTCTCACGGAAATTTGAAGAAAAAGTACCACACCTAAGGGTGAAAAATTAAAGGGGTAAAAAGCAGTTTGTTATAATTCATCATGAAGTCGGTGATACTATTTCAAACTTAAGTAAATATAAGTAGGGGGAAAAGGGAAAGTGGGAGTCAGTGGGCAATGGTGGTGAATGTTGTAACATCTAAACGAAAACACCTAAAGAAAAGAATCTTATCCTCAAAGATTCGTTAGATATTTAGTACGTGACAATAATTCACAAATTAAGGCTGCCGCACACTTTTGGGCATTTTAGATACAATTTTACGGGTGCACAAAATATGCGATAGGCACATTTTTATAATAAATGTAAGTTCTTAGAGTAGCTTGTTATGCGCCTGTGAGCCTAAATTATCGATTAAGAAATCTTTTTTTTATATGTTTTAGTGACATAATATATTTTTCTTTTCATTTCTTACTATGTAGAGTTACGAGTACATCCCACTGACATAAATTGTCCTTGTTAATTATTTCAAAAATACCGAAAATACGCCTCATTTAACAAATAAAGCTAAGTGGTTGTGTATCACACTACCAAAAGCCTTCTGCTTTTATTATTTATTCTGCCCTCTGCATTTATAATTAGTTAAATGTCAAAGACCAGTATAACTTGAGCTATCCTTGTATAGACTGCACTATGACAGGTTAATATGTGTACTGGAACCCTATAGCATTATATAGCTGTTTTTACATTATTTTGAACCTTATAACACTTTTGTCCTAGGCTCTGTTCGCATGAATGTCGGTTTTCGCGGTAAAAATTAGCCTTTGTCCTTCCTCAAGAATCAGACTATCTACATACTAAAGTTCATCTAAATCAGTGCAGCGGTTATTGATTCCCCATACAAACTTCCACCCCCTTTTTCACTCCCTTAAATTATGATTTGTGGGATAAAAGCTATTCTATGTCCTTTCCCGAGACACGAACTATCTTTGTACTAGTGATGTGCCGGATCGTTAACAAAGTATATCCGCGGATACGGATCCGAATACGGATATTTGGTGTCTAGATCCGCGGATACGGATACGGATACGGATATCCGGCACATCACTACTTTGTACCAAATTTGATCTAAATCAGTTCAGTGGTTTAAGCGTGAAGTAGTAACAGACAGACAGATAGATAGACAGACAAACACACTTTCGCATTTAGTAAGTACGGATACACAACAGTGATAAGGATTTTACACAACTCATTAGCTTTAAATTTACAATTAAAATTATATCTACTTCATACAGGTGTTCAATAATCCGCTGAGATTAAGATTGTGTCGCTAAGGTGGCAAATAGGTAATCTAGCACACAACCACATAACAGGCGCGTGTTAGATTCATGTTAAATACCGAAGATAAAAAAAAACAAGTCATCCATCCAAAAAATACTGTCGCAAAATCACTTAGGTATATATATATCACAAAATAAATATTATGCATACAATATCATAAATTCCCTGGCCGTTTTCTGCCGTGTTTCTACCTAATTTCTTGGAGAGTCAACCACACAACCCTCCTTGCAAGAGTTGGCCTCAAGCCCTTAGAATAGAAATTGAATTTGAGTAAGCAAAGAAAATAGGGAACCCATATCCTAATTTTTTAGGTACTTACAAGGGTTACCCAAGTCGCAGATGGGAGAGAAACTTCAAGGTATGTGGATCAATGGCTTTTTTCAAAAATATTCTGAGCGCGTTCGTCTTTTAACCAATACACAAATAGTTTTTTATACAATAAATTATTATCCATTTTCGTCATCTATATATTCCTTTTAACTGCTTATTCGATTCTGTACTGGCAGATAGGTCTGTTCATCATAGATACAGTAACTTGTGGTACACACCCGTTTAACATTTACTATGTGTAAGGTCTCAAAGTGGCGTCTGTTATTTGAACATACAGAAACCACTTTGAGAACTTACTCTTAATAACATTAAGAGATTTCTTTTACAGTATGCAAGCAAAACCTCTACGGCCGACACACAAGGTGATGCAGGCCAGGGCCGCAAAGCTATAGCCGATGCTTCCCTTATGGAAAGGGCGCAACCGTTGAGCGACGATCCTAAGGTAAAATAATACAATTACGGTCATAAGGCAGGTGGCCTGCGATAACAGGCGTTAAAAAATGATGATTAATTGGTTTTACACTTTTCGAAATATCCAAAGTAACCGTGCGGAGTTAATTCGTGCAGACGAAATAGAAAGCTTAATTATATTGCTAATTTTAAAACCCTTTAAATAATACGTAACCTTTGTGTTATTTGTGTTAAGAGTCAATTTCAAACTTAATCCTAAATTACTTACTGTGTTACTAATTACACATCATCACATCACATCAACAGCCCATAAAAGTCCACTGCTGGACATGGGCCTCTCCTTAGAAGGGAGGTTATGGCCTACTATACTATGGTTGGTATAGGGTTTGTGTCAAGTTTTCCTCCTCTTTGCAGTGCTGTTGTCCTGCGTAGTTTGCTCCCTTAGTCGGCTCTTACGACACCCACGGGATGAATAGTGGTGACACTCCGTATTCTTAATCCGTCACCACACCATACTCATTTATTTATATCGTTTTATCTAGAGTTTAGTCCAAAAATTTGTATATTTATTAATATAGTACCTACCTAAATAAGCTAGATAGTAGTAAATACACGGGTTTTAAAATTATATTTCAGAATCTGCTCATGTACTCACGTCTGTATACTAAAAGGGGGACACAGTCGCATATTAATCACCCACATTTGATCTGTAATTCATCATTACAACCATAATTTGGTACCAATCTTCAATAATCGTGATGTTGTTTTAGTAAAATATTAATAGTTGTATCAATTTTTAGGCTTTCGATGCGGTCTTCTTCATTTCTTCAAAGGCCGAGTCAGACAAAGGGGTGTACGTAATCGCTGGTTGTGAACGTAGACCGTTGGGAATGTGCAATGGACTGTTCTACATCGGGGTGAGTCAACCTATAACATCACCATATTATTGGTCCTTTTTCAATTCTTTTATTATTCTTTTAAAAGACAACTCCCGCACTAGGAATAAATCCTGTGTCGCGGGGGACTTTACAAACATACATGAAACGGACACAAAGTACACCCAGACTCAGAACAACAATTTGTGGATCACACAAAGTGTTATCCCATGTGGAGTTTGAACCCACAACACTCAGCGCAATAGAAAGTGGCGTGGCGACCGCTTAAACCACTACGCCATCCGTGCAGTCGTGTTCGTGCAATTTAATTATGGATCAACGTTTTGGTTGGTTTTTTCTTATGGCTGATCGTCTTCCCGACGCCAATCCTTGCTAGGAATGTAATCGTCAAAGTCAGAGTACCTTCAGACGTTACAATTAAAATAGGTTCCTTTAGTCCTTAGTGCTTCTTCCAAGCATTGCAATGCTGAGGGCTCAACACCATTGCATATAGTATATTTTATTAGTCAAAACACGGATCGCTATTAAATAATAAATAACGTTTCAGTTACCGGGTAAAGGGCTGTTATGCAGCAAGAAGATACCAGATACAGTTCTGTTTGGAGCGCAAATTGGAGAGTTCGGTGCTGAAGGTCTCAAAATAACGCCTGTTTCACCTATGGCCAAGTGGACTGTGTCCTACAAAGGAGAAATGAGGTAAGTTATAAAACAGAGGTTTAGAATATATTTTAGTTTTCTTTTTTCACCATCACGTTGCTACTTTATGAAGAAGTAACATAGGCTTTTTATGGCGTAAGTGGCAAATGAGCAGACTTGATACCTAACGGTAAGTGATAGGGATGGAATAGAATCACAATCACCTGTGATAAATGATGATGACTATGATTAATCATTATTTTTATTATAAATCATAAAACCACTGCGACTCACTAATTCGCGCTCGACTTGCGAAAGGTCTAAATTAAAAAAAAAGGTTGTCTATGACCAAATAACAATCACCGATGAAATCGCTGTGACCAAAACCAATAATATTATAAACCAATAATATAATATTATACATAGATAACACCCAAACTCCGAAACAAATATTTGCAAGATCTCAGAACAGCAGTCGTATACGCTACCACTGCGCCACCGAGGCATTTCGTCATACGAACATAATTTAAAAGTAATAATTAATACGTCTACTAAACTACCGACACCCATAATTTTGGACATAAGTGCGTTGGCGCTCTTTAAAGTGTCAATTTCCCTAAAGTTAGAAGGCTGGCTTAACCTCTGGTGACGATATTTAAAAAAAAAACAGTACAGTAGAATTCCTTAACACTGGTTTTCTGTAAGAACGTTTTAGTAATATGTAATAGGTAAATGTGGACAAAGCCGAAAAAACAAATAGTGCTAAATGTACCATCATGTCCGTGTGGTGACGGATTAAGAATACAGAGTGTCACCACCCCTATTCATCCCGTGGGTGTCGTAAGAGCCGGCTAAGGAAGCAAACTACGCAGGACAACAGCACTGCAGAGACAAGGAAAACTTGACACAAACCCTATACCAACCCGTCTGGCCAGTGTAGTGTAGTAGGCCAAAACCCCCTTTCTAAGGAGAGGTCTATGTCCAGCAGTGGACTAGTAAAGGCTGTTGATGATGATGATGTATCATCACCATTATCAGCTAATCGCAGTCCACTACTGGACGTAAGCCTCTCCGTTATGCCTCTTAGATTAATTTTCAGCTTCTCGCATCCAGAAAATGTTATAAGGTAATATTTCTTTTATAAAACATGAATTTAGACTCGACTTTGTCAAATTCCAGATATCAAAGCAACCCTGAGAAAATTGTTGAAGTAGATTTCTTCGGCGAGTGGAGTGCGACGAGCAAGCCTTTCGACTTCGACAGTGATCTGTACCCGCCAGCGGTCATCAGGTCCATCGCCAAGGAGAAGTGGAGGAGGCAGTACTTCAAAGGACTTAAAACGTATGGAAGACCTAATATTATCCACCTATTTTTTTTACCAATTTTTTTTTATTTTTTTACCTCCTTTCTAAGGAGAGGCCTATGTCAAGCAGTGGACTGTTAAAGGCTGTTGATGATGATGATTTTTTTTTATTTTTGGAAAAGACTTTCTTCCAGTTACATGGCTTAACTTATTTACGATATAGGGGGAGGGGGGGGGGAGGCTTAAGGGGATTTGGGCCTCGGTAAGCTAACTCACTCAGTAAAAATCAACGTAAGGCAGTTCACTAAATGGAATATTTAAAACATTATCACTGCGTCGGTGGTGCAGTGGTAGCCTATGCGGCTGCTGTGCTGAGGTCTCAGGTTCGATTCCCGGGTCGGATTAAATGTTTGTAGGATCTGCAAATGTTTATTTCGGCGTTTGGGTGTTGTCTATGGATGTGTATTTACAAAAAAAAAATGTAAGTATTCTGTCAGTCAATTTATTTTCATAGTACAAGCTCTGCTCAGTTAAAAATTAATTATCCATAATATTATTATTACTGACTAGCTGACCCGCGCAACTTCGTCTGCGTCTATCAATAGTAATAATTTTTCTCCGTTTTTGAAACATTCTTCATTGGTGCTCCGCTCCTATTGGTCTTAGCGTGATGATATATAGCCTATAGCCTTCCTCGATAAATGGGCTATCTAACACTGAAAGAATTTTTCAAATCGGACCAGTAGTTCCTGAGATTAGCGCGTTCAAACAAACAAACAAACAAACAAACTCTTCAGCTTTATAATATTAGTATAGATGTAGTTTTTTTTTTGTTTTTTTTAAAGACAACTCCCGCACTAGGAATAAATCCTGTGACGCGGGGGACTTTACAAATACTTTACAATACATTAAACGGACACAAAGAACACCCAGACTCAACACAAAATTTTTGTGAATCACACAAAGTGTCGTCCCATGTGGGGATCGGACCCACAACACTCAGCGTAGTAGTGAGCGGCGTGGCGACCGCTTAAACCACTACGCCATCCGTGCAGTCATAGCAGCAAAGTAAGTTTTACACTGCCATGCACCTGAAGAATTATTTTTGTCATTACAGGGCCCACCAATCTCACTATGAGCAGTTCGGGGCATTGAAGTGTAAATTCAAAATCGACAACGAGTCCTTTGAGTTCACGCTACCTTCCTTCAGAGATCACAGTTTTGGTGAGATTTTTAATATTCTGTGCAGAATAATTTAAACTTTATTTTAGACTAGCTGAGACCCGCGGTGTTACCCGCGTTTGTTGTTATAACCGCGGGCAACGCCGCGGGGCGAAGCTAGTCTAAAAAAGTAGCCTAATTTACTCCTTATGTCATTAGCTATCTGCCAGTGAAAGTCCCGTCGAAATCGGTCCAGCCGTTCCAGAGATTACCCGGAACAAACAAACAGACAGACAGACAGACAAAAATTGTAAAAAAATGTTATTTTGGCATATGTACCGTGTAAACATACATATGCATTTAGTAAAAAGCGGTTATTTTAATATTACAAACAGACACTCCAATTTTATTTATTTGTATAGATATGTAGGTACTTATCATGTCCTCTCCCCGAATGTTGTTAGTTTCGGTGTCAGTGGAGATACTGCCCAATACTGGCTTTAATTTAAGTTGGTATAACACATATACAAAAGAACCCCCTTTTTTCCTGTGCGGTAATCCCCTTGGATTTCACGGACCAAAAACCGCACGCTATCAGTCACGCTCGGTACCAGTAGCTCGGGAACTAAATGTACCCTAGAAAAGGAAATCCCTGGTACCCCGACGTACTTCGGGCCATGCACAGCAAGTAGATTGCCCACTCCTGTGTGGGAACCCCCATGTTCAGATTGTGCTTCTGAAAGGGGGCACGTCTCGATGCTACCCCGGACTGCTTCTGCTAGGGTGACAGATGGCCTCCCCTGTCAACCCAGGCCTAAGCTTATGAAGGAACCAAAGAACCCCTAACTTTATCTGAAGCACAACAAACAACGTAAAATAGTTGCGTCAGTTGTTTTTCCGTTTCGAAAACATTCATTATCGAGTCTCAATGAGGAAAGTTATATTGTTTAAGTTCTACGGCAAATTCTCGGTAGAAGACTGTGGCGACTCCCACATTCAAAGAAACAGAAACATACTACAGCGCCATCTAATGAAGACACACCGAACTACGGAGTAACTACTAAAATAAGAATTGCTAATCCTGTATCGCGATATAAAGAATTTCCTCGGCGATTAGCATATATAAAACTTCCCAACATCAAACGCGGGGGCCGCGGCCCGCCAGGCATGATCACCTCGCCTGGTCGGAGGACCCTCCCTTTGTGTTGGAGGGACATGACACCCGTTCCTCCACAAGACTATTAATGGTCTGTACGTGCGAAATATCAATGTTTTATCGATAAATCTAATTAGAGGAGGGAGGAAATCACCTATCCCAAAGAACTTGACGAATCTTGTTATTAATTATTTAATTACAAAATGTATATACATATCTTCAGGCCATAGGCGAGATTGGACCCTGATGCACCGGTACGCATTCCACCATATGTTCCTGGAGAATGGCATCAACATCTGCGTGGGAGTCATCTGTCAACCTTCTACAGCTTCTGTGTAAGTTACTCTAGTCTAACAACTGACAATCCAATACTACTATGATGGAACTTACTATATTTTCTGAAAAATATTACTTATAATATGTGACCAGCTGTTCCCGACAAATTTACGTTTCATCAACAGCCTTTACTAGTTCACTGCTGGACATAGGCGTCTAATAAGAAAGTAGGTTTTGGCCTACTACACCACGCTGGCCAGAGGGGTTGGTATAGGGTTTGGGTACCGGCCCGAGTGCTGGCCCTGGCCCTCAACCACATGGCAGACCGCCTCGGGGAGGTGTTCGACGCTAGCTTGGCGTCGGGACGCTTCCCTGAGTGCTGGAAGAGCGGGAAGCTGGTCCTATTGAGGAAGCCGGGACGGCCTGCCGATTCGGTCGCGGCCTATAGGCCCATCGTGCTGCTGGACGAGGCGGGCAAATTGTTTGAGAGGGTTCTTTCTGCCCGCATCGTCCGGCACCTCTGCGAGGTGGGCCCCGATCTGTCGGACGCCCAATTTGGTTTTCGGGCGGGGCGTTCGACGGTCGACGCCGTGTTGCGCCTGAGGGCCGTGACCGAAGAGGCCGTGAGCTGTGGCGGCGTGCTGTTGGCGGTGTCACTGGACATCGCCAACGCATTCAATAGTCTGCCATTCAGCTGCATCAGGGAAGCACTCCACTATCATGGGGTGCCAAAGTACCTGGGGCGGCTGGTGGCAGACTATTTAGAGGAGCGTACCGTCGTGTACGAGGACCGAGAAGGTAATTTGAGGTGTCGGCCCATGTCGTGCGGTGTTCCACAGGGGTCTGTTCTTGGACCCCTCTTGTGGAACATAGGGTACGACTGGGCCCTTCGCGCCGATTTCCCCCCCGGGCTGGGTGTAATCTGTTACGCAGACGATACCCTCGTGACAGCCCGGGGGGCAAACTTCCAAGAGGCGGCGCGCCTGGCCACAGGGGGAGTCTCCCTGGTGGTCGGGCGCATTGAGGCGCTGGGCTTACGGGTGGCCCTAGATAAGACGGAGGCCCTGTTATTCCATGGGCCCCGTCGTGGTCCACCCCCTGGCGCCTCAATCGTGGTCAACTCGGTCCTCGTACCGGTTCGGGCCCAGATGAAATATCTGGGCCTGATCCTCGACGGGAGGTGGCTCTTCGACGAGCACTTCCGACAGCTTGCTCCAAAGCTGGTCGGCGCTGCGTCTGCCCTAGGGCGACTTTTGCCCAATATGGGTGGACCCAGCGTCGCGACAAGACGGCTGTACACGGGGGTTGTCCGGTCAATGGCGCTGTACGGTGCACCGGTGTGGGCGGCGGCTCTGACCGCCCAGAATAGGGTACGCCTCTGGCGCCCTCAGAGGGTAATGGCGGTCAGAGCCATACGCGGTTACCGCACCGTTTCGACGGAGGTGGCGTGCGCGTTGGCCGGAACTCCCCCGTGGGATTTGGAGGCGGAAGTGCTCGCCGAAGTTTATCGGCGAGTGGCTGACTCCCGGGCGGAGAGCGGATTTCGCCCTCCGCCCGAGGATGTGCGCGAGTGGCGCGAAGCCGCTCGCCAAGCCACGATGGCTCGTTGGTCGTTCCGGCTGGAGACTCCACGCGCTGGCTTCGCCGCCGGCCATCGCCGAGTGGGCAGGGCGGCAGCACGGGACCCTTTCCTTCCGACTGACGCAGGTGCTTTCCGGGCACGGTTGCTTCGGAAAGTACCTGCACACGGTCGCTAGGAGGGAACTGAGTCCCGCCTGCCACCACTGCGACTGCAGTGAGGACTCGGCCCAGCACACGCTGGCGGTCTGCCCCGCATGGGCGGCGCAGCGCCGGGCCCTCACTGCAGTCATCGGAGTGGATCTCTCGCTACCGGCCGTAGTACGCTCCATGGCCGGTAGCGACAGTTGTTTTACCGCGGTCGCAACCTTCTGCGAGGTAGTAATCTCGCGGAAGGAGGCGGCGGAGAGGGCCCGGGAGGACGACCTCCACTCGGACCCGATCCGCCGCCGGCGAACCGGGCGGCGGAGGCCCGCCTATCACAGCCTCATGCCGCCCTGAGTGTGGCCGCGGGTGGACGGGGTGGGTTTCCCCTCCACCCGCATTAGTTTGGCCAGCCGCGAGGGGGCGGCGTCCGCGTGTGCCGGACGTCGCCTAAAGAGAGGAAAATATATTGAGACGGAGCCCGCACCAGAAGCGGGCTGGCGCTAGGAGGGGTCCGGATGTCTTAACAACAGCTGTTCCCGGATCCCTCCTGTTACAGGCGCAGAGTGGCACACCGTGTGGTTTTAGTCGGTCCGAGTCCGACACACCACCCCGCCGCAAACCCCGGAGGGGTGACGGTCCGAGGGGATTTCCACACGTTAAAAAAAAAAAAAAAAAAAAAAAAAAAAGGGTTTGTGTCAAGTTTTTCTTCTCTCTGTAGTGCTGTCGTCCTGCGTAGTTTGCTCCCTTAGTCGGCTCTTACGACACCCACGGGATGAATAGGAGTGGTGACACTCTGTATTCTTAATCCGTCACGTGTGGTGGTGTGGTGGACTCGACGGAAATTTACGTTTAGAGTCGTGATATTAAACAGCCTGGGACCATCCACAATTATTCGATTATGATGAGACGCAAAAATCTTATTTCAATTACATCTGGTAGTCCTAGAAATTGGTGCATTTAAATAAAAAAGAAAACACTTCAGCTTTATTTTAGATGTACAACTAATTTCATCGTTTTTGTGGTTTTTGCAACAAGACTTTGCACCATGATCGGTTTCAAACCTCACAATCGCCTCTATTAGTCCCTAACTTATAAGAAGAAAAAAAATGTGACTACCGCCGCCCATGAACATCTGCAAGTCAAGTCACAAATCAGTTGCTGACCTTCAAATGCCTTCTCTAGGTTTAGGGGGATGGGACCACCACTAACCTTATTTTTTGTCTCAGAGTCAATTGCTAAAGGTATGGGGTTTTTGATAGGATTTCAAGATTTGCAAAACTAGTCCGCATTTCTAAGTTGTGACCAGTGTTTCTTGGACTGTTACATAGTCATATATTCAGATTCAGGCATCTGTAAGCATGCTGATGCTGATACCTAATAGGCCCTTGCTATAAAGCCCCTTAATAAACTCTTAATATCCATCTCTTGATCAGTTTCGAAGCGGGTTGGATATCCTTGCCGAACGGTGAAGCTCATCCGATAAAGTCAGTAGACCTGAAGCTATATCAGCATGGAGAAAACGGCACAGCACCAAGGGATTACGCATTCACCTTCCTGGCCGGTGATCAGGAGTATCATGTACAGGTATGGACTTAAATCTTCAATTGAAGTTAAAAACAAGAGTGACGACATAATTACCTAGCAGTTAACATTTTTCACGTCACAAGCATCTAGTAATATAGTAAGGAGCGTAATTACAACACCTCGAGGTACTCGAGTCTGACATATACTACCTAAAAAAAACGCTTCAAATAAAAAAATAATTCAAGTGTTTCAATTTTCTCTGGCAGGTTCTAGTGGAATACGAATCCATTCACTACGTATCCTCAGACTGGGATGCTCGCATGTGTGAACGGTTCTGCAAATTCATCGTCAACAGTGTGCCGGGTCGAGGAGTGTCAGAGTTTCACTACAGACACAAAGACGGAAGACCGGAAAGCGTTGCAAAGAATGACCCCGAGTGGTATAGGAAGATGTGTCACGAAATTTAGTGTATTGTTGTTTTTTTTTTCATTTTCGTTCATCTGTCGACACCAACAAGCGCTCGTAGCCTGATAAAAATTCGTCTGCCCCGCACCTCCCTGTTCTCCGTTCTCGTCCTACCTCCGCTCCCCTGTACCCCGAAGGCGAGGATACAAGGGGTTTCTCTACAATTTCAATACAGTTACAGTCACATACAGAAATGATATACTCGTATTTATGCCGCCAGCAGCTATGCTCATTACAGGTCACGTACGAACCTATTTATAATTTTGTTATTTTATTTTGTCGATAGTATTATGTATATAAAATAATGTAGGCCTTTTTTACAAGAATACATAGATTTTTCTTTTAAAGTATTTTATTCTTTTCACCGATCATTAAAACATCTATATAGAACTATTGAAGAATATATCAACCGTGGAAAGCAGAAATGATCAAAAACTATTTAAAAAATTCATAATTTTAATAACATAAAATTATAAGAACTAGATAAAAGTCAATTCTTTATCAATTCTTTCATCACTTTACATACAGCAGACAAGACCATTCATCATTCCAGGGGCTTCGAGGGGGGCTTCTTTTTCTGATTTATTAAACTACTAAGTTTTACATTTAGGCCAATCCCCAAGATACATTTCTACTTTCTGCTGTCGATATATAGGGCTCCGGCAGTTGAAGTTGAAATTTTGGACATATTTTAAATCCTCCTGGATCCAACTGCATATTTTTGGATGTTGTGATAATGTATTTCATTTGGGTCTCAAAATAAATCAGTCTTCAGTCTACCACTAAATCTGTTTTATTGGTTTTTAATTCAATAGTGATCTTGTATCCCGACTATATATTCATTTTTTATTTATGGTTTAACTTTATTAGTTAAACAGAATGAACATCGAACACGGTTTTGAGGGAATCGAACCTACGACACTCAGCGCAGTAGGAAGCGGCGAGGTGATCGCTTAAATTACTACGCCATTCGTGCAGTTAAAGTAATATTTTAAAGGGATATAATTAAAAAAAATATCTGTTGGATTAATCCTGAATACAGCCTATTTGTATACTAAATTTCATACAAATCCGTTCAACTGTTTGACCAAAAGGCCAATTTTCCTAATAAAAGTTCGATCACAATTCTGTTCCAATCAACTTTCGATGTCACAACAGTCGTAAAAGGTATTTTTTTAATAAAGTATTAAACATCCAACGTTGACTGTAATGTGATTATATCGTATTGTGACCGAAAATTAAATCGGTAATCCGCTAGTCTTCACATCACATCATCAGCCTTCAATAGTCCACTGCTGAACATAGGCCTCTCCTTAGAAAGGAGGTTTTGGCCCACTGTACCACGCTGGCCATACACCCGGGTTTATATAGGAACTATTTCAAGTTTTCCTTCTCCGCTAGTCTTATTAATACTTTAATATTTTACTACGAAAATACCTTTTATGACAATTGTGAGATCAAGAGTTGATCGGAACTGAATTATGATCGACGTTTTATTACGAGAATACCTTCTGTTTGTATAAAAGAATATATTCATACACTTTCAGATACTTCTACAAGTAGCTCAACGTACATACTTGATTTTGTAAATAAAATAAATACCAATTCCATGACCATGAGAAAGCCTCGGGGTGCCCATCCATGAAGATTCTAATACAATATATACAATAATATACATATATCAAATCCTTAATAGAAAGCCAACCATAGATTGAAAATCTACATACATAGCTTCAAGACCTTGGTTTGGCAGGGGACGGTCCTATGCTTCAATTATATCGCTAATCGAATTGGCTGACTACAGCGAATGAAATAATTGCCCACGCGCATCCTATTTCATCTACATGTAGTGTGATAAAATTTTCTTTTGTTTTTTGGTTTCACAAAAAAGTTTATGTGATAAGTAAATAAAACAAAACGTCAAAAATTAGTAGATAAAGAATTATTTACTCTTATATGTCTGAAGGGGTAAGCAGGCACATGATAATCATCCATCGTGTATCACCACCAACCAATAGGGAGCAAGCATGAATTGCCGTCATCTTTGGTAATTAGATGGAAAACTTGAGAGATTAATTTACAACGAAATGTTGGTAAGACAGAAAGGCAATGTTGCCTAAACGCATCGGTTGAAACTCTCCAATCCATATGTTTAAGCAATATTGCGAGCCTGGACTCCTCGAGTTATTGCTAATACTCATTAGCAATAATAATAATTAAGAGAACATACCAATATTCGTCCCGTTTCAGTAGTTCAATTTCAGAAGTGATCTTTTACCAAACATTAAGCTTTGGGCCGCGTGCCACCAATCATGGCTGGCGTGGAGAATCCTTCATCTTTTAAGAGGGGCTAACACTATCTCCAGAGCAACGTTGTAGTTACTTAGACTAAGATAATTAAGAAAGACCACCGTCACTCGATGCTTTGATCAACATACACCGTTGGTGGTCGCTCTCGATAGTAAAATCCTTGGTAATACATTTCTCTTCTATTCGAGTCGCGAGAATTAAAAAAGTAAATGTAGTGGCGTAAAAGAATTTATGGTTAAATATATAGGCTGACCGGAGTCTATTACGAGTATATAGCATTTAAGTTGTAATCATTTCAACATCTTTTCAAAATGTAATTTTATGTCTGGTACTGAAAATAAAAACTGACAAATCATATTAAAGACCTCTGATTCTTAGCCAGATTTATATCCGATATAATATCGAGTTCAGGCACCTGGTACCAGTGTTCCACATGAATACAGATTGATGCAAGAAGTAAATGTAACATTTTCATGCATTTCTTGACTGATATCGGTGTAAATATTTAGTTTATTTCTTGCATCATCCTGTATTCATATGAGCGTTTGGTGTCCCCAGCTAATGTGTAGGTATGGCCGTAAGCATTGCCACAATCTGGCAGTCGGGATAGATACAGTAAAGAGTTTTGACTATGGGTACAGTGTATTTTTAGCTATTGTTTTATTAAACATTTTTGAGTTGTTTACAGCAATTTTAAGGTAAGGTTATTTTTAAATGACTATTGTAACTCACGGAAACTCTTTCGATAGCTTTTAATTAAGGTCGACACTAGATTTCTTTGAATTCATAGAAATAATAATAATATTTTCGGAATTTGACACACAACACCATCTTTTTCCCAACTAAGCAGAGCTTGTAATATAAAACCTAGATTGACTGATAGAATACTTACATACTTCTTTTTTGTAAATACGTATTATAGTAATAGAAATTACAGTAATAGGGGCGCAACCGGGTTTTAATTATGGAGATAATTAAAATTGGGAATATAGAATTACTGGAAGGGAAAAAAAGGAGCACAATAATAACATGAATCGGAATTAAGAGGATGTTCATTGTTGGTTTGAATATGACTCTGTTTTGTCTATTAAAACAACATGTCTATCACATCTGGGTAGTTGGGATAAGGTAAACTTCAAAATATGTTCCAAGATGTCGCACAGTAAAAGTACGGTTATATTCTCGCGACATCAACCCAAGTATGTACAAATTGTACATTTAAAAGGTTCACCTCCTCATCATCAACACCTTCTAATAGTCCACTGCTGGACATAGGCCTCTCCTTAGAAAGCAGGTTTTGGTCTACTACGTTTTGGCCAGACGGGTTGATATAGGGTTCGTTTCAAGTTTTTCTTCTCTTTGTAGTGCTGTTGTAATACGTGGTTTGCTTCCTTAGTCGGCTCTTACGATACCCATGGGATGAATAGGGGTGGTGACATTCCGTATTCTTAATCCGTCACCACACGGATTTAAAAGGTTCAATAACTCTTAGTTCCTACTTTGTAGCCCTCTTTTGCCACAAGGAGGTCAGATCAAAGCATGTCTAATGCGTTAGATAACATATATACACTTACATTTCTACCCCCACAGGGGGAGAGACTTATTAAACACCTATATTTTACTAACTAGTTTAATTATATAAATTACTAGCCGACCCGGCAAACGTTGTTTTGCCATATACCTTATTTCTAGGAAATATTGAAAAAAATATTTAGGGGTGGGTCACCCTTGTCATTTAGGGGTATGAAAAATGGATGTTGGCCGATTCTCAGACCTACCCATGTGCACACAAACAATTTCATAAAAATCGGTCCATCCTATTCGGAGGAGTATGGTAACTAACATTGTGACACGAGAATTTTATATATTAGATAAGATAATAAAAACTTTATTTTCTTTTAAATAATCTTTTAGAACACCTTTAGAATGGATTTCGACGCAATCTTGGAAGACGTGGGCTCGTTCGGACGTTACCAGAAGCTTGTCATCTATCTGATCCTACTCCCAGCCGTCATACCTTGCGGCTTCCATGCGTATGCGCAATTGTTCATGGCAGCTAACGTGGAACACTGGTGTAGGGTTCCTGAACTCAATATTATATCGGACATAAATCTGGTCAAGAATCTGAGGTTAGTTAAAGTAATAAAGACCACAAAAATACCTAGGCAGAATACGAAATCGTGTTAGTTCCATTTTGATCTCGATTTGAATTCCAGCATCCCCATGGAGCTCAAGAATGGAGTACTACAGTACTCAGAGTGCAGTATGTACAATCTAAACTACAGTGATATCGCCAAGAGCTACCAGACCCTAGACGATATAGCTCTAATACAATCTTCATCGGAAACTATACCCTGTACCAAAGGGTGGAATTACAATAGAAATATATATAAGAATACCGTCGTCACTGAGGTGAGTAATAAATTGTAGGTACATGTATAAAAGACGAAGAATAAGAATAGAAAATATATTAAGTAAAACTAAAGCTTTTTGTTAAAATACTTCTTCATTTCTCTGCTCTTGTCCCAATTATGTCTGGCGTCGGTAAAACAGTTCTTCTTTCATTCTTCATTATACTCCTTTATCTTATACCCTTTCATCCATTGATACTAGTCTATCCACTTGTTCTTTGGTCGTAAACCTACGTTCATCGCTTTTAACCACGTTTTATATTTCTCTCTACATTTCCTGTCTATCAAAAATTAAATTTGATTTAACAAATGAACTGAATATTATGACGACAACTAAAATTAACTTGTCCTTGTAACTTGTTAACTAAATTTGTCCTTGGCGTGATTGTAGATTTGTAAGGTCGCCGCACTACAAACTGAATTACTCCTAAGGATTATGATATCAATTCTCTTTTGATATAACTAAGAATATTATTGTATATTCACAGTGGGACCTCGTCTGCAACAAAGACTTTTTGCCGACTCTTGGCTTAGTCCTTCTTGCTGTAGGAGGCATCGTCGGCAATTACATCTTCGGCTACCTTCAGGACTCATTTGGGAGAAAACCAGCGTTCTTCATCTATCTTCTCATTGAGTGCATCTTCGGAGTGGCAACTGCCTTTGCCCAAAACTATATAATTTGGATAATTTATAGAATCGGTGTGGGATTCACCGTACCAGCGATTATGACCACGCCTTACGTGCTAGGTAAGTATAGTACAGATAACAAAAATTAATACAAAGTAATTCCATAACATAAATCCATTTATTTTCGTTATAAGTTAGAAAGATTTTTAAGTTAGATAAATATACTATTAGACACAAGGATGGGACCTTTGATGAAAAAAAGCGTTCCCCGAATGGTGAGGCTATCTGAAGTACGAGCAGACATGGATGTCGAAATACAGTCCGAAATGTAGTAGATTTATAACCTCTTTCTTGAAAGACTTAAATATATCATGATTTCTTACTTCCACAGCTATAGAACTTGTAGGCCCACGAAGTAGAACACTATGCACAATTCTCTCAAACATAGCTTATTCAACTGGCCTGATTCTGCTTGCGGGCGTGGTGTATCTAGTCAGAGATTGGCGTCATCTAGCACTTGCCACCACACTACCATTCGTGTGCTTCTTCTTATACCTGTGGCCAATGCCAGAAAGCCCACGATGGCTTCTAGCAAGAGGACAGTTTGAAAAAGCCGAAGTTATCTTGAGGAATATGGCACAGTAAGTGCAATGTACGAGTAAAATAAAGTACGGCTCGCCGTATTAGCTATTGACTTAACAGTCAAACTTTGTAGTTTAATAATCTCTAGATTGCTTGTTCATCCTTAATCTTATTATTATATTTTGTACCTTCCTGATCCTTTACACATAAACCATTGTTGACAAAATTCAAAACCTATTAATTTTATTTATCAATTATTTACTAAATGTTATAATACTTCTTGCATCTTAAACTTTATAGAATCAATGGTAAATCCTTACCAGCAAATTACATGGTGCAGCTTCATCGTAAATACGAAACAGACAAACTAAACCAAGACAAAGAAAGTGCCAAATCGAGGAAGTATGGTATCTTGGATCTCTTCAGAACACCCAATTTAAGAAAGAAAACCATAATTATAACATTTATTTGGTTCACGAATACTAGTGTTTATGTTGGGTTGTCGTACTACGCGCCCATTTTGGGTGGAGACGAATTCTTAAATTTCTTTCTGGCTGGTATTGTTGAGCTACCTACATATTTATTTCTGTGGCCTTCTATGGAGAGACTTGGAAGGAGGTGGACTTTGTGTATGAGTATGGTTGTCGGGGGAATAGCATGTTTGACGACATTTTTGGTTCAGCATGGTGAGTGCCATAAAATTATGTTAAGTATGAAAGCATGAATCGAACCTGCAGGTGTTGGTGTGCAATCAAATGTACTCCTTAAAGATCGATCAACATGAGCAGGGACACCATAAAAGTATATGTTAGACTCCAAATATTCTACTGAGAAGTAATAAGAATTAATTTTTCTGCAGTGACTCCAACACGATTTTTTTTTGATCAAGGGGGCAAGCGAACAGTCGAATCATCTGATAGCAAGTAACTGCCGCAACTTATAGACATCTGCCACTCAGGAGTTACAAGTGTGTGGCCTTTATTTTCCCCAGTCTGAATTTCATTTTCATCTTATTCAATTACAGAAACTTACGTTACTTTGGCCCTATATTGCGTTGGTAAGATGGGAATATCATCGTCATTCGTAGTACTACCTCTAATGGCGTCAGAGTTGTATCCAACCGTCGTGAGAGGACTCGGTATGAGCTTGAGCTCAGTACTTGGGATGCTGGGACCTATCTTCATACCGCTGGTTAATTATTTGGTAAGTTTTTAAAATAATTTGCATATTCTGGAAAATTTTACAATAATTATGTCAATGATATAGGATTTTGTCATAAGAAGTTTAAATCAAACTTGTCCATTTTTAATTCATAATTTCAATTACAAAGAATAACATCCAAGTAACTACCGTAAGTATGGTATTCATCGTTAATATACTAGTCATAAATTTCTATAAAAAACTTGAGAAAACTGGCCTACTAAATTCTCGAAATTCGACAATACAAATACATAAATGAGCCATGGAGTGGAATATTCTGGGTGTACGGCTAACATACCGAATAAGAAATACAGTAGGTACTACGCCCCAAAACACAAACGCAACTAAAGTGGGATTGGGCCGGCCACGTTTGCCGCATGCCGACGGATCTCTGGGCAAAAATTAGCACAACTTGGGTCCCACAAGGTGCTAAACGACAACGTGGCAGGCTCAGACGACGATTGCGGGACGATCTAGACGGCTTCCGAAAAGACTGGTCAGAACTAGTACACGACAGAGAGATGTGGAATCGAGAAAGAGAGGTCTTTGCCTGCAGTGAGACAATACAGGCTAAAATAAATAAATCAAAGCATTATCTAACAACATACATTTTGTACGATTTCAGGGTTCCGACATCATGGTACTCCCACTGATTATTATGGGAGCTCTACTTGTAGCGGGGGGTATTGCTAGCTTACTTCTGCCGGAAACCCTTAATCAACATCTGCCACAGACTTTAGAAGATGGTGAGAAAATGGGTCTAGACACTGACTTCTGCTGTAATCCACCAGTTAAAGAAACTAAAACTCACACTAAGGCAGTTGCTAAAGATAGTGTTGTAGAACACGGTGTATGTACTTCTTGCAGTGCCCTATGTTCCTGTCAAATAGTGAATGTATCCCTAGCAGATAATATAGCTGCTGTAATTGAAAAAAATAGTGAAAAAGTCGACTTTATAATAGTTAAGTGATATTATTATAATGTGCTCTGTACATTCGCATGAGGTAATAAAATGTTGACACACACATTGCAGCTTTTTCTTACATACATACCTATTTTAATTAACCATTTATTTTAAGTAAATTTTAAACGAAAAATACTATATCCTACATCACGCAATAAAAATTACTAGCATATCGACGGGCCTGTTGGTCGAGTGGTTAGTGCCCCTGACTGCGGAGGTCGTGGGTTCGATTCCCACCCAGGACAAATATTGTGTGATGAGCATGATCGTTTGTTCTGTGTCTGGGTGTAATTTATCTATAATATGTATGTATTTAAAAATATATAAGTATGTTTATCAGCAGTCTGTTCACCATAGCACAGGCTCTGCCTAGTTTGGGATCAGACAGCCGTGTGTGAAATGTGTGAGGTATATTATTATAGGTATATATATATAATATAGGTACAACTTCTCAACATCATCCGCCATCCGCCAGGCATGATCACCTCACCCGATCGAAGGAAAAAGATGAGGTGATTTGCCCCCTTTGTATTGGAGGTAAGTATATAAAACCCGTTACTCCACAATAGTAACGGTTAACAAGTTTTACTTTTTAAATATTTGGTTGAAATGAAATGTATACATTTTATTTCACAAGGGTTGTAACTACTTATATGTATTTCATTACACTAAATGAATACATTAATGTTGTCACTAATTATTAGAGTAATTGCTACTGTTTGAAATATTTTGGGGTGACTAGTTACCACAATCTATATGAAAACTCGACATTCAATATTATTGTAAAGATGTTTTAACATAAACATTAAAAATTAAAAACCAGTAATGAAACATCTACCGCGTGTTCCTTATGTTTTCATAAAGCTTTTAACAACCTATTCTGCACTTTATTTCTAGACGATTTGCAAAATATGAACAAAAAATATTCAGTGGTTTAGAAACAAGACATTTCTTTTTGTTTTCGTAATTTGCAACATCATGTGTACATGCAGTCATAATACATTGACCTCAGGCAGTGATCAGCTGTATACGCGGGTTGCCGCTTTTACTACACTCGAATCGAACGAAATATGTTGATTATTGCGTCATCATGATAAAGGACACGCGTTTTTAATTACTTCATCCAGTAAGGACAGTCAGTCGGCCCTTGGCCACCGGCGTGTGTTATGCTATTCTGTATCCTTGTAGATGCGCTCACGACAAATAACCGTAATAATAATATTGTTGTTGTTCATGAGATACATATTTGTTTAGAAAAGTTTTAATTGTTTAGTCTTATTGCTTTCGTCATAATACACGGCAATGGTGTGAACAATTAATGTTATTTTATTTTGAAAAGTTACAATATTAGGTTCTGTGTGTAGTGTAGTGTGAAACTGAGTGAATTAATTATCAGTCTTTTAATTTTATTGGGTTATCGGTATCAACAAGCTCCATTGTAGGAGACGAAAACGCAAGAAATGATGACAGTATTAGGGGAGCCCTAGAAGGAATTCCGGGATTTACTCGAGCGTGTCAGATTAACATAGGAGGGAATACCTTACACCAAGTTGAGTACCTCCACCATAAATGAGCCCTACATATAGGGAATAGCGTATATTCATCAGATTAGTTTAAAAAAATCGATGGTCAGATGTACTCGAACGTGTAAAATTAAGGTATTTTGGGTTAATTACATACGCATTAGAGTGTATTTAAAGAAATCTGACGATTTGAGCATGACATAAACACATGACCTTGATTTTTTTTTTATTTTGAAGCAAATAATGTAAGAAATCTCCCATAATGTCTAAATAATTTTTAGTGCCACTATTTGACACATTTTGTAATAAATAAAAAAAAATCAGATTTAAAATACCCTGCAAAATTATCGTCAGATTTTAGGCTAGTATGGCAGGAGCATCAAGTTGAACCGTCTATATAAAATCAAACACGCTCGGGTATTTCGAAATGGCGATTTTTCGAATTTGCTGTTTGCCTTTTCGAAAATAAGCTACGAGCTTGTGTCACTTTAAAATCGCTAGTCCTTTCAATAGCTGCATTTTTGTCGACCAAATAACATACCTCCAAAATATCTAATGCGCCCGAATATTTTTTTTTCGATTGTCTCCCCTTACATTTTTGAAAACCTGTAGAAGCTTTTCCCACTGCTGAAAGTCGAAACATCATAAAACTTTTATTCATTATATTACCTAATCTTTCAAATGCAATACGTTCGAGTAAATCCCCATTTAGCATCATGGGCTATATTAGATAACACTATATTAGAGGCATTATACTACAGTATAATGCTCCTAATTTTTTTTGCTGTAAATAGCCTTTTGCGTTCGATTTTCAAATAAATTTGCCTTTGAATAACATATGACACAGATACGTTCCATTTTCAAATTTTAAGCATCTCAAAACTTATATAGTGACCTACGTATACATTTGAGAATATTTTTTCAGTTCAATAATTTCAGTGTAAATTAAGCAAAAAGGCTATTTGTTGCCAAAATGCAAAATTTAAAAACCATAAAGTAAGAATTAAACAACTATTTTGACTATGGTTCTAACTCCTTTAATCAGCTGTCAAAAGTCACACTTGTGTGCGGCTTTTATACTATGAATTATCTAATTATTTTGATGAAATAAATAGTTCTGATTGTGAATTATGGCTTTATCATTTCTACGCAGTAATGTGATCACTCAAAATATAAAAAAACAGCTTTACCAAAACAAACGCAATGCCGGATACGTTGTGCTGTAAGTACTCTGCAAAAAAATTGTGATTTGTTATTAAAATATATATTTCTGAGGTATAATATATAGATAATAATATATATTACACATATAGAAATTTATGTCTACTGAGAGTATGACTTATATGATGATTATCAATATAAAACAAATTATACTAATCCTAATTTAAGTTTTCTAACTGAACCCTAATTTCTTTTAAACTCTTAATTTGGTTGGGATGATAGTTTTTTTTTATTACATATATTAAAATAACAGAATAGCTTCAGCAATGTTGTGAACTCTCATTAATACCATTGCTTCAACTTTCAGTATCCCAGAAATAGGAGAAGATGCTGATAATACTCTACTGTCGAAGAATGGATTACCAGAATTCAATGACTTTACCATTGAGAAATGTATTGCAACCATCAGCAAACAAAGTTTAGAGTATGAAAATGGAACTCGTCAAATAGAACAAGTGGCTGCAAATAGCAAAAACGCCTTTGTAGATGTATTCAAGCCTTTTGAAATTCTGGATAGCCAGTTGGAGCTAACATGGGGAATGGCGAAGACATTGTACCTTGGAAACAGTTCCTTGATGCCTACTAAGTCATATATTCAAGTACACGAAAGAGCTCACAAAGCACGGTCTAGCAAATTCAATAGCATTCCTATATTCCAAGCTGCTGTAACGGAGAAGAACCGTCTGAAGAAACTCACAGATGAAGAACGAAGGCTTCTAGATAAATATATTCTTGAAGGTAAACTAAATGGTTTAGAAGTCAAGGGAATAAAGAGAGAGAGACTAGACATTATCCTCCCAACTTTACAGAAAGAAAGACAAACTTTCAGAGACAAGGTAAACATAGCTAATAAGATTTTCACCAGCACCATCAAAGATCGAAATCTTATAAAAGAGTTTCCACAGACTCTAGTAAAAGACATGGCGATAGGGGTTGATTCAGACAAAGGACCCTGGAAACTCACTCTGCTACCTCACATCTATGAACCTTTCATGCAATACTGTCCTGACAGAGACTTACGATGGAATGCCTGGCAAGCACATGTACAAAGATGCTCCGGATATGCTAACAAGGAAATGGAAACGGCTTCAAACTTAGAAAATATTAGAAGGCTAAGGAATGAACAAGCTACTATTTTAGGTTATGAGACTTATGCAGACATGAGTATGGAGACTAAAATGGCTGGATCAGTAGACAATGTGCACAGTATGTTGGATAGTTTATTAGAGAGTGCTAGATCAATGCAAGATGCCGAAATAGAACTGCTACAAAGATACGCGCAAGAAAGAGGTTTTGAAGATAAGTTAGAGCACTGGGATATACCATATTGGCAAAGGAAACAAAAATGGAGCCTCTATGGTTTTGATGAAGACAAAATACGAGAATACTTCCCCTTGCCCAAAGTTCTTAATAGTCTTTTTAGTCTGTGCAATACTCTATTCAATATTAACATTGTAGAAAGAACAGATGCACACACATGGCACAAAGATGTCAAGTTTTATGCTATTTATGAAGAGTCAAGTGATACTCCTATAGCTAACTTCTACTTTGACCCTTATGCCCGTCAAGATGAAAAGATTCGCATTTACGATGATGCAGGATGGCATATTGCTATCCGTAACAGATGTGCATCCACAGGTACATCTCCATTGTCAGCATTGATTTTCAATTTCCAAGCACCGGGAGATGGGAAGCCATCTCTGCTTTCATTCAACGAAGTAACTATTTTGTTCCAAAGATTTGGTCATTCCCTTCGCCACTTGTTAACCAAAGCCAATTATTCTGAAGTTGCTGGACTCTCTAATGTGGAATGGGATGCAGCAGAAGTGTGCGGACAGGTTATGACACATTGGTTATATGATCCAAGTACAGTAAGAAGAGTGAGTGGCCATTTCAGTACAGAAGAACCATTATCGGACGACATTGTCAAAAACTTACAGAACATAAGAGGTCACATGTCTGGTTACAATCTATGTAAAGAATTATACTTATCGAAACTAGATTTGGAGCTGCATTCTAAGAAGACTTTCTGGAGAGATATTGTGAGGGAAATGTGGCCGAAATATCATGCTCTACCATTTGACAAATACGACTCCCATCCGCTTTCGTTTACAAAGATTTTCTGCGAAGAATGGGGAGCAGCATATTTCTGTCGTATTTGGTCTAGAATTATTGCTGCAGATATATATAGTGCTTTTGAAGAAGCAAGACATGGTGAAAACGATGTATCAGCAGTGGGGAAAAGATATAGGGACACTTTCTTAGCTGTTGGGGGCAGTTGTCACCCCAGTGAAGTGTTTAGGCGGTTCCGTGGGAGGGATCCTTCACCCCATGCGTTACTTAAAAACCTTAGTTTGCCCAAAAAAGTTGTAGAAGAGTAAAATTGCATTCATCTATGTATTATAACTAGATTTTAGCAGCATTCACTATTAATATATTTGTATTTATGTTATGATAGTTTATATTTTGGACTTTGTTTTGTAGTAGTAGATTTCTATTAGTTAAACATGTGAAAATGAAATTGTAACACTAAATTAAAAATAAAACACATGGCAAAAATAATAATTATTATATTTATTTTGCTTTAAGCAATAGTCCACTAAATTTATTTTCAAACAATAAATACAAATGTAAAATTCTATTGAAGGGCCGAGCTGAATAGTAACTGTGCCGATGTTTGTTAGGTGAGTAGAGTACAGAGAGATGTATACACATCACTCGTGCACTAACGACTGTATACTCGAAATGTAGACAGCCGTATTAAACGATTTTAACGCCATCTAGTTTCTTACTAAGCATAACTTGTACTATAAAAGCTAGATTGACAGATAGAATACTTTAAGACTTCTTTTTGTAAATACATATACATTATACATAGAAAACACCCAAACTCCTAAACAAATATTAGCAGATCATACAAACAGGCAACGCGTTTGTGCCTCCTGTTGCAGACGGTCATGGGCGGCGATGGTCACTTTCCATCAGGTGACCCGTATGCTCGTCTGCCCCTCTCTAACACAAAAAAAAAATGATCGAACCCGAGACCTCAGCACAGCAGTCGCATACGCTACCACTGCACCACCGACGCAGTGCACTTTAACTATATCTGTTTTTTTTTAAGTCAGATTCAGCTACTACCTTTTTATAAAGCTTGGTCTAGATCAGGGATTTCCAAAGTGGTCGATAACATAAACTAAAAATTGATTTTCGGGCTCGACGAGGATAAAAATCGACTCCTATTAATTAAACAAGTTCTTATTTGAAACTTTCAAGATACTGTATAAGTTGAGTTACGTGTACCAACTCGTTATACGAAAGACTAATATTTTAGTAGGAAGTAGGTATCCTTGTAATTTTAAGGAATTCAGTAAGCGTGGACAAGTTCGAGCAAGATAATGTGTACAAATCTTTCAGGTACGTTTTGCCGTGTTCTGTATTTGAAGCATATACGCGATTTAACACGAACGAAATCATGATCAAGTTAAAACATACTCCTGATATTTTACGATGTAACATTTTAGTTTTGCAATTCATTAAAGCTTAAACGATAATGATAATACACTCATCTACCAATTTATTTTATGAGATTACAAAAGATTTTACTAAGATGTTTGAAAATCTATTAAATTTACAAGTTCCTCAATGGATTAAAAATCCGTGCAATATCACAGCCATAGAAAAAGCCAATTTGATAATGCAAGAAGAGTTTATAAACATCAGCACAGACGAGGAACTCAAGCAAAAGCTCAACCAAGACTAACAGAAATTCCGGTTGCGGCGCAACATTGAAACACAGATTCCTGCATTGTGGAATATAGTTGAAAAATACCTTATCATTTTCCATCTTCATACCTAGTCGAAAAAGGCTTCAGTGTGGTTACAAACATTTTGACAAAACAAAGAAACCGTTGGAAAATAAACGGACGCAGAGATTTAATGCTGCAGCCCACCAATATTGAACCAGATTTAACTAGACTATTGGAAAGTCACCAAGTTCATCCATCACACATATTTTAAATGCGATTTTCATGTTTTAAAAAAATACGTAGGTACCTTCTTATGTATTTTTATGTAAGTTGTTTTATTAATTTGATAATTGCAGTTGATATTTACTGACTTTTATGTCTCTTTCTTTTTGATGAAAAAATGATATCAAGTTTACTCACTTGATCAACCGTAAAGTTTTAAAATTTGTAAGTATTTTGTATCAATAGGAAAGAAACTAGAGCCATGGCCATGAGGGTCTAAGGTATCAATTCGTTTTGGAAAAGGAGTCTCTTGCCCAATATAGTTTGGGAATCCCTGGTCTAAATATTTATATTAAGTATTCACTATCTCTAATTTAATTATCTACTTGAACTAGTTCCAGCCCAGCGGGGAACCTCCTTGGATCCGCACTTGTGTCATATTCGTTGAGCTCTGCTTCTAATAAAGATTCCTTAATGCAAATACATCACATTTAAAAGCCTAATTTTATTCTAGAAGCAAATTCCTATACAAGTAATGAATTTAATCAGAATCTGGATTTTGTTCCCAAGCCCTCTCCATGTCGTAAATATCCTTCTTGATGCTCTCGTCCTCGGGTAATAGTTTGCCAGCTGCTTTCATTTCATCTATAGCCTTATTGAGGCGACCTATCCTTGCAAGGGCAGCCGCACGTCTAGCGATACACTTGGCTCGGCTGCGACGGTTGCTCTCACACGCCGGTTTCATCAGGTCCAGAGCAGTGGAGCAGTCCTGAATCTGAATCGATATAATATTGCTTAGACTGTTACAAGTTCCTCTAAAAACCAACACCACACTTGTATACTAACTTTTAAACTTTCGCGTTCCATGATAATTAATATTATTTAACGGGAATTAGTCAGCCTGTGACCACGGCCGGTGCAACCTGGTCGAAACGTCAGGCAAACCAGAGGTATGTAATACCCTAAATAAGAGATCGCGTTAATTCCCGTTAAATAATATTAATTACCACACTTGTATGAAGAAAATACTAGGTATCCAACCAAAGAATCAAGTCCAATTAATTAAGCATGGGAAGTTTCTCATGTATTGCAAAGGAGCATTTTCGCCACGGATTTAATTCACTTCTCACCCAACTCCACCAACGGGATTCTCATTGTGTACCTTTTATGTAACAGTTGACTAAAATTAAGAAACTATACATAATGAAATTTTGACAATAGGTACATTTCACTTTGGCGCAATCGTATTGTAAAACAGTAGTAATTATTGTACACTTACACACTTATTAAAATTTCCGAGTGCAAAATGCGTAGCAGATCTATTAGCGTAGAGGCTTGGAAACTTATCGGATAACGTGATGCCGTGACTGTAAGCACTAACGGCTCCGAGGAAGTTTCCGTTTCTGAAGAACTCGTCGCCTTTGGCCTTGCACCACTGGGGATCCTGCTCCTCAGGACGCAAGTCCTCCGATACGAAGCCTAAAAACAATAAATTAAGAAACATGGTCATTTAAGCATTTCCCTGACAAGCTCCAAGCATTGTAAAGTATTAAAAAATGCTGCCTAATAATGGCTCATGTTGTCTGAGTCAGGCAGAAGCAGAAAGGTTTTAAATTAACTAAAGTAAGTAGTAAATTAACTAAACTAGTAGTAAATGACTACCGCCACCCATAGACACCTGCAACTGAGAAGTCGCAAGTGCGTTGAGGGTCTTTGAGGTGATAGTGCTATAGGTGATAGTGATCTGTAGACTTGAAGGTCGTATCGGTCCAAAACTACACCAGGCGGCAATAAGTTTGCTTGTTGGGATATTTTGTGCACTGCCGTAATGTTTATCCGACCATCAAGAAATTTTACAAACACGTTCCTAGGCATATACAGAAGATAGAGAACCTTTAACTCAAAAAATACCCAAGTATTTTTGCCATAACCAAAGATAAACGCTAGTGTTTAAAAAAAAAGAAAAGTAGGTATACCAGTGGCTCTTCTCGCCAATGTAATATTCTTCAACCAAGCTTGCTCTTCTTCCGCCTGGGACTCTCTACTGGGCGTCGGAAATGACCGTGGCGTGTGTGTTATTTCTAAATTCGTAGTTTGCCTGAGCCTCGGCAAAACCCTCTTAGCTACCTGCTCTTTCTTCCTTTCAACATATTCTGATTTAACAGGTGTTTTAACAGGCTTCCTAACCGGAGGTTTCTTAACTGGCGCATTTACTTTTTTGTCAGTATTATCTTTTGCTTCACTAGTTTTTATGCTGTCTTTCTTTGCATCATCTTTTTCCCATTCATCATCAGATGGAGGTAGTTCAGTAATTGCCACGCCATTTTGCTCGCGTTGTGGCCCCGTTATGTACTTTGCCTTGAAACCTTCGTTTTTTGATTTGTCAGTAACTTGTTTTTTATTTCCATCATGTGTGTTGCTAACTCGCCATTCTTCAAGAGCTTCCATTGCTTCTTTTCTGACGTTATCACGCCTGGAGTCCATTATATTATGCTGCTTGTTATCTATTTCCATAGCCTGTTGTACTGTAAACCTATCCAATTGACTCTTCTTAATTTGACGGTCTTCAGACTGTTGTTTTGCTTCCTCCTGGCATTTCTGTATGACTTCTTGTCTTATTGCCATTTTCTCCTCTTTTGTCAGTTCTTTTTCTAAACATTCCCATTCTATCTGTTCCATTTTGACTAAATCTAAATAAATTAAATCCTCTTTCACCAGACATTTGCTTTTTTTAATATCTACGTCGTATAATAAAAATACTTCAAACAGAAATGGACTGAAATGTGCTTTGATATATTTGTTAGTTGGGAAAAGATCAACTTTTTCATGATTAACCGGATTAAGAGGAATTCTAATGTGCACCACTTCACTTGTTTGTGACCAGGTATAATCTTTTACTAAAATTGGCATTTTTAAATATCTCTACAACTGCAAATTCTGCAAAACTATAAACTTTGAGAGATATGAGACGAAGCTTGAAAAAAACAATCTAGTCGCCACAGAGTACAGTTTTATCTCGTCGCCATGGTTATGTTATATTTATTTGAATAATGCTCGTGTGTGTTGAAATTTCATTTCATTACACGCAGCCAGTCTTCAGCAAGTCAGCATTATCTTCAACATATAGCTACCTACCTCATGACGGCTAAATTTATCTGACCTCATTACATACATCGCGTTTGTGTTCTTCTATGCATATAGTATATTTAATATGGACAACTCCATAATCATAACAAATTCATTCATTACAAAATATAACGTACTTATTTAATACTTTCGTACAACTGTTGCATACTCTTAAAATGATAAAGTGATAAGACTGTAATAATATATATGTCATTGTATTGGTGAATGTTTTTTGCGTTTGCGTTAGTATACCTACTAAAACTGTTTACGAACTGAATACAAGAAAATGATGACTGCTAGAGTACAAACTGGTAAGTAAAAATTTTGGCGGTAAAAATTAATATGCCAAAAAAATTTAAACCTATTTCTTTTTAATTCGAACATTGATAACCTCGGTGTCGGCTTGTATATAGAGGTCAAGATTATGCTTTTGAAACAGAGTGACAAAACATTATGTTTGTACAATATTTACTGAGCCTCTTTACAGAGTTTTGATCGTTACGGGCCACCGTACTGTAATAAGTATTTTAATAGTTTATCCGCGTATTTATTAAATAGTTCACATTGGTGTGTGTTTACATTTTAGTCAGAGCATTCTCTTCGTGATATAATTGTTGTTTATTTTGGATCTTACGTAGTGTTTGTATAGACTTTCAGTGGTGGATTTACCAGCAGGCTGAGTAGGTTGGAGCCTAGGAGGGCAAATTTCAGGGGGCGGCAAATTTGGCCCAATTTTTATTTTTGTCTTAGTTAAATAAAAAATTTTTTATTACATACCTACACGAAGAGAAATAGCCTGTATGTGTCATCTCTATGCAGGGGCACCCCAGTACCAGCTTCTCCCTCTGGACAGTATCCAAAGAAGAGCGACTCGAATCGTCAATAACCAAAAGATCTCCGACCGGCTAACTCCCTTGGCATTACATAGAGATGTAGCTTCGCTCTGCTTTCTCTATCGTATATATCATGGAGAGTGCTCCGCTAATTTTTTATCCTCACCACTTGGATAATTGGCACTCCACCAGTGTGCGCTTTTCAAGACACTTTTTGCCTCGCACTATAAACCTGTGGAACAAATTATCGAATAAATTATTAAAAGGCCGGAAACGCATTTGTGACTCCTGAATTGCGGACGTTCATGGGCGGCAATGGTTACTTTCCATCGGGTGACCCGTATGCTCGTCTGCCCTCTCTATCATAAAAAAAAGGAATGTATTACAATTATAACAAACGAACTCATGAGCTATCTAGATTTTCATGAAGTCTTCATTCATGAGCATCACATGTGTTCGATAAAATGCCAAAATGACGTTGTATGCAGAACACGTTAATATAAATATAACAGCCTACATAATTGAAATGATCTACTATCTATTATTTAGATGTTTACTAAAATAAATAAAAAAATTGTAGGTATAGTTAAAGGTAAGTTTCATTTTAATTTTGTTCAAACAATTATCAACATCCGATTTAAACGAAATGTTGCATAAGCTCACTTTCCCAGGGATAGAGTAAAGAATATAGAGAATGTATAATTAATTGGCAAATTAATATTATGCGAGCGTTTCTGCGGATAAAACCTGGTAAAATAAAATTAGCTGCAAATTTTTGGGCAAAGTAATTTCGGAAATAGCATCGGATCACATGAAAGTAGAAATTTGAAGATGTTCCCTCTTAGAAAAAAGGTTTTGGCCTACTATACCACACTGGCTAGACGGGTTTGTATAGGGTTTGTTTAAGGTTTTCCTACTCTTTGCAGTGCTGCTTTCTTGCGTAGTTTGCTCCCTTACTCGATTCTTACGACATCCACGTCTTTGTGTTAAGATAGATACGAGTATAGGTAAAACATGCAGTTTTAACTTTCAGAACCTACCATCGTAGAGAAAGAAGAGTCTATCTGGAACAAAGGTCTTTTTTAAATTTGTCATACAAATAAACGGGGAACTAACTAAAATTCTGTGGTAAACGGCTGATAAGAAGTTTAGAAGAAAGATTACGCAATTTTTCCTGCGAATAAATACTCTCATGAATCTTATATATCTTCCGTTACTTACCGAACTGAATGTAATTTTGCTGTGTTTAATTTTACTTTTTCTTCCAAAACAGTATTAGGGGACGTGAATCCTTTTGTACTCGGACGTACTCTAACCCATGAACACCTGGCAATGGACTTCTCACACTTCTACTCGAACCCGCCGGAGCAGTTGGCTGACAAGTTCCAGTCTCTACCATATACCCTGGACCTGATAGGATACATAAAGCAGTATCCATATAGTTCTCCTTACAACTTGTTGATGGATGACAGTGATGCAAACACTGCTGTACTCGAGGATCTGATAGCATATAAGAAATTTGGCGGAGGTATGAAAGGATTATAATTTAATGTGTCTTTTCAATTCCCAATACGATATTTCTTGAACCAACCTCAAAGAAGAAGAAGGTTCCCAATTATTTACTTACCTACAGTTTTTTTTAAAGGTGCTTGGTAAACTACGATTACCTTTTTATGTAACCGGTAACCCGGTCTTACGAATGTAACCTACAAAAAGAGAATTTCGCCGATAGTCGTACTTAGAAACGTCTACGTCTTTTTTTTCTTTTTTTAACGTGTGGAAATCCCCTCGGACCGTCACCCCACCGGGGTTTGCGGCGGGGTGGTGTGTCGGACTCGGACCGACTAAAACCACACGGTGTGCGACTCTGCGCCTGTAATAGGAGGGATCCGGGAACAGCTGTTATTAAGACATCCGGACCCCTCCTAGCGCCGGCCCGCTCCTGTTGCGGGCCCCGTCTCAAAATTTTCCTCTCTTTAGGCGACGTCCGGCACACGCGGACGCCGCCCCCTCGCGGCTGGCCAAACTAATGCGGGTGGAGGGGAAACCCACCCCTTCCACCCGCGGCCACACTCAGGGCGGCATGAGGCGGTGAAAGGCGCGCCTCCGCCGCCCGGTTCGCCGGCGGCGGATCGGGTCCGAGTGGAGGTCGTCCTCCCGGGCCTTCTCCGCCGCCTCCTTCTGCGAGATTACTTCCTCGGAGAAGGTTGCGACCGCGGTAAAACAACTGTCGCTACCGGCCATGGAGCGTACTACGGCCGGCAGCGAGAGATCCACTCCGATGACTGCAGTGAGGGCCCGGCGATGCGTCGCCCATGCGGGGCAGACCGCCAGCGTGTGCTGGGCCGAGTCCTCACTGCAGTCGCAGTGGTGGCAGGCGGGACTCAGTTCCCTCCTAGCGACCGAGTGCAGGTACTTTCCGAAGCAACCGTGCCCGGAAAGCACCTGCGTCAGCCGGAAGGTAAGGGTCCCGTGCTGCCGCCCTGCCCACTCGGCGATGACCGGCTGGAGAGCCTCCACGGCGGCGAAGCCAGCGCGTGGAGTCTCCAGCCGGAACGACCAACGAGCCATCGTGGCTCGGCGAGCGGCTTCACGCCACTCGCGCACATCCTCGGGCGGAGGGCGAAATCCGCTCTCCGCCCGGGAGTCAGCCACTCGCCGATAAACTTCGGCGAGCACTTCCGCTTCCAAATCCCACGGGGGAGTTCCGGCCAACGCGCACGCCACCGCGGTTACCGCACCAAACGGTGCGGTAACCGCGTATGGCTCTGACCGCCAATACCCTCTGAGGGCGCCAGAGGCGTGCCCTATTCTGGGCTGTCAGAGCCGCTGCCCACACCGGTGCACCGTATAGTGCCATTGACCGGACAACCCCCGTGTACAGCCGTCTTGTCGCGACGCTGGGTCCACCCAAATTGGGCAAAATTCGCCCTAGGGCAGACGCAGCGCCGACCAGCTTGTGAAGTGCTCGTCGAAGAGCCACCTCCCGTCGAGGATCAGGCCCAGATATTTCATCTGGGCCCGAACCGGTACGAGGACCGAGTTGACCACGATTGAGGCGCCAGGGGGTGGACCACGACGGGGCCCATGAAATAACAGGGCCTCCGTCTTATCTAGGGCCACCCGTAAGCCCAGCGCCTCAATGCGCCCGACCACCAGGGAGACTCCCCTTGTGGCCAGGCGCGCCGCCTCTTGGAAGTTCGCCCCCAGAGTGTCATCTGCGTAACAAATTACACTCAGCCCGGGGGGGAAATCGGCTCGAAGGGCCCAGTCGTACCCTATGTTCATCAAGAGGGGTCCAAGAACAGACCCCTGTGGAACACCGCACGACATGGGCCGACACCTCAAATTACCCTCTCGGTCCTCGTACACGACGGTACGCTCCTCTAAATAGTCTGCCACTAGCCGCCTCAGGTACTTTGGCACCCCATGATAGTGGAGTGCTTCCCTGATGCAGCTGAATGGCAGACTATTGAATGCGTTGGCGATGTCCAGTGACACCGCCAACAGCACGCCGCCACAGCTCACGGCCTCTTCGGTCACGGCCCTCAGGCGCAACACAGCGTCGACTGTCGAACGCCCCGCCCGAAAACCAAATTGGGCGTCCGACAGATCAGGGCCCACCTCGTAGAGGTGCCGGACGATGCGGGCAGAGAGAACCCTCTCAAACAATTTACCCGCCTCGTCCAGCAGCACGATGGGCCTGTAGGCCGCGACCGAATCGGCAGGCCGTCCCGGCTTCCTTAATAGGACCAGCTTCCGCGCTCTTTCAGCACTCAGGGAAGCGTCCCGACGCCAAGCTAGCGTCGAACACCTCCCCGAGGCGGTCTGCCATGTGGTTGAGGGCTAGGGCCAGCACTCGGGCCGGTACCCCGTCTGGCCCAGGGGCGGTGTTCTTGGAACGGATCCGTAGAACAGCCGCCCCTACCTCCGAATCCCGGACGGGCGGAACATTATCCTCCCCGTGCTCCCCGTCGTCTCCGGCCAAGGAGGCCATCGCCGGGGGAGTGTGTTCCGCCCGTTGCGGGAAAAGGCCCTCAACCACTTCTCGCAGGAAGCTGGGCTGGAGAGTCTCCGTAAGGGGGGGGCCCGACGCGCGGAGCTTTTGTCGCGCCGCGCGGTAAGGGCGACTCCAGGGGTCACGATTAAGACCCTACAGCATCTCCTCTCTCAGAAACGTCTACCCTACTTCAACCTATTGCCGTCCACTGCTGAACGAAGGCCTCCCGCAAAGAGCGCCAACCATCCCGGGTCTAGGCAGTCCGCATACATCTGCTGCCAGCCATTTTCCTCAAATCGTCGGTCCATCTGGCCGTGGGGCGCCCTACACTTCCTTTACCCAATCGCGGTCTCCACTAACACATCGGTTCCAGCGACCATCAGTCCGCCTGGAAACATGACCGGCCTACTTCCACTTTAGCGTACTGATTTTCTGTGCGATGTCGGTTACTCCAATTCTCTGTGGAATTGTTTCATTTCGAATTTTGTCGACTAGAGAAACACGAAGCATAAAACGCTCCATCGCCAGCTGAGCGTCTTTGAACGCCTGGCCATGCTAACATTATTACATATACATATATAATTCCTTAAATCGCGCAATATATAAATGATTCCAGGCTTACAAGTCTAAAGTACCTACTTTTGTCAAAAGTCTGTGATCAAAAGTATTTGAACTAGTCGAAACTTATGACCATGGTTTCTCAATTTAATATTCATAACAAGCTATGTACTTTAATTTTGACCACACACTCTTACTTTATGTTTACAATTTCAGGTACAATCGTAGAAAATACAACTGAAGGCATCAAGAGAAATGTGAATTTCTACAAACGTCTCTCTCAAGCCAGCGGTGTGCACATAGTAGCTGGTACTGGCTACTACATAGCAGACACGCAAACCCAGAAGACACTGCTTCAATCTTCAGAAGACATGTACAATCATATGCTGAAAGAGCTGACGGAGGGCTGTGTTGATGCGCCAGGAATAAAGGCGGGGTTCATGGGGGAAATTGGCAGTATTTGGCCATTGAGAGGTAATATTACAATATAGATTCAGGTATCGATAATACTTACCAGGATTAAAATAAATCTGTGCAAGAACTGAAGATGTATAATTTTTGGTTCAGCTGTCTTAAAAGACAACACTGTATGGTTTGAAATAGCCTATATTGTGTGAAAATCATGGAGTAATAAGCATAGAGTGAACAAGAGCCTCAATCTTGTAATAAAGGCAACGAAAGAGATGGATGCTAGATAGTTCCCTATATCTCTTTCTAGTTGAGCGCTGTGGTTGGCTAGGAAAAATGAGGGGTTGATAAGAAATCAGATCACATCAACAGCCTTTAATAGTCCACTGCTGGACATAGGTATCTCCGTAGAAAAGTGGTTTTGACCTACTATGCCACGCTGGCCAGACGGGTTGGTATAGGGTTTGTGTTAAGTTCTCCTTCTCTTTACCGTGCTGTTGTCCTGCGTAGTTTGCTCCCTTAGTCGGCTCTTACGACACTCACGGGATGAAGAGCTCCAGCAGTGGACTAGTAAAGACTGTTGATGAAGCACTTTGCTAATGGAAAACTGAAATTTAGTAGTAGTATTTTTTTTTATGTTAGAGGGGACAGACGAGCAGCCGTGTCACCTGATGGAAAGTGACTATCGCCGCCCATGAACTTCTGCAACTCAAAAGTCACAAACGCGTTGCCGGCCTTTTAGGAAGGAGTACGCTCTTTTCTTGAAGGTAGTATCGCAAATACCGCAGCCGATAACCCGTTCCACAGATTGGTTGTGCGGGGCATAAAGTGTCTCGAAAAGCGCACAGTAGTGGAGCGCCAACTATCCAGGTCATGAGGATGAAAATTTTGCCGTGTGGGAACGAAGTTTAATTGTAACCTCAATAATTTTTATTCATTGCAATTATTCTACAAGTGTATGTAATTTAATATGACAGTCGTAGAATTTTTAATACACTGTGTCTCATTTCTTTCTTTGGTTGAACTATACCTTCTTCATTTATTTATTTAATTTTAAATGATTAAAAAGGTAAAACGTTCATTTAAAGATATTGTTTTTATATTTTAAAATACAGTTTAACTTGATGTTTTAATTTTAAATTGATTTTGATGTAGGTACAAATTTCCTCTCCATAAGCGCAGGCCTGGGGGTGACAGGTGAGGCCATCTTTTTTTTTTTTTTTTAAGCGCTAAGCGCGCTCGCTTCCAGGAAGCAGAGGGAACATGGGGTCCCACACGGGGGGGGGGGGGGGCGTCTACTCGTTTGTAGATGGCCCGAGGTATGTCGGGGCACCAGAGACTTCCTTTCTAGGGTATACCTTGTTCCCCGGCTATTAGTACCCGAGACGGCGAGCGGTTTTAGTCGGTTCGAGTCCGACATGCCACCGATAGGTGGTATCCGAGGGGATCCGAGGGAAAAAAAAAGGTACAAATTTTCTCATATTGTTTACATAATGTTTATCAATTGATGTTATTCAGTTAAACTACTGTCGTTCAGAATGCCTGCTTACAGTTATTTTGCCACTTGCGCTTTTAAATATTTATACGGCTTTTAAATGTTTACCTCAAGTTTTTGAGCTACGTGTTTTGTATAGCTTCTGTTTGAATTATTTACCCCAATTTAATTGCGAAATGTTTAATCACCCGCCTGTTCTACGATCAAAACCATTCCCACTTCACGATAGCCAATTGCAACTTAGCTAAACAGAGACAGGGAAATATCGGGCATCCATCTCTCTCTTTGCCTTTATCGCTTCCACTTATTTATCGCGCTGTTAGTAAACAGACAGCTGTAACCAGTGTTTACTCTATGCTTATATCTCTATGGTGGAAACCGCATTAAAATCCGTTGCGTAGTTTGAAAGATCTAATCGTATCTACCGGAAAAGTGACTTTATTTCATACTATGTAAAGATAATAATTTACATAATATATTTGTACATACTAGAAATTCTTCAAGATATGATAAAATTTAACTAGCGTATTAAGTCAATAAAACATTTAGTGTCATTCACAGTATCAAGTAAATAATCTAATATATAAAATTCTCGTGTCGCGGTGTTTGTTACCAAACTCCTCCGAAACGGCTGGACCGATTTTTATACAATTTTGTGTCCATATTGGGTAGGTCTGAGAATCGGTCAACATCTATTTTTCATACCCCTAACTGATAGTACCCCTAACTGGTAGTAGTGATCCCACTAGTATTTTTTTATTTTTTCGATCTTTATTTTATTAATATAGCAAAACAACGTTTGCCGGGTCAGCTAGTTAGACACTATTTTATTTTTGATTTATTTCTAGATTTTGAACGCAAAGCAATTGTTGCTGCTGGCGAATTGCAGCCGCAAGTCAATTGTGGAGTCAGTTTCCATCCCCACAGAACACCAGATGCTCCTTTCGAGATAATACGTCTCTACCTGGAAGCTGGTGGATCTGTCGATAAGGTCGTCATGTCGCATTTGGATCGTAAGTACATTTACAAATCTTTTAGAGTAAGTAAAAGAAAAAAAATGGTGAGTGAATTCCAATGTGCAGGGACACTAGAATAAAGATGAAACAAGGGTAATAGGTCCAAGTGTTGCAACAATTAGTTATATAGAATTCGTTTTATTAGAAGTTAGAACTAAAATTTGGATTTCAAAATAAGGATATTCAAACCTCTTTGAGATGAAGGTTCTTAGCATCACCGGTTTCCTTTCTTAACAGTGCCGTGAGTGAATTCACATCACATCACATCACACATCAACAGCCTTTAATAGCCCACTGCTGGACATAGGCCTCTCCTTAGAAAGAAGGTTTTGGCCTACTATACCACGCTGGCCAGGCGGGTTGGTATAGGGTTTGTGTCAAGTTTTCCTTCTTTTTGCAGTGCTGGTGTCCTGCGTTGTTTTGCGCCCTTAGTGAATTAGCAATAAGTAATTACCTCTACCGTCCTTTAAAGATGTTTTATAATAAAATAGCAACCCGCCCCGGCTTTGCACCGGTGCAATATACATAGACACTACTAATGTGGTGTCAGTGTGGAGTTATTAATTATACTAATATTGTGATAAGTCTTTACTAACAGGACATCTTTAAATACAAAATTTGTAGTACCGCTTCTGCCGGCCACTGTCACCCGAGACGGACGTACGGCCCGACCGCGACGGTCGCCTTGCCCCCGCATTTTAAATCTCTGATATCTACTACGTTTTATATGAGACAAAATCGCTCCTAGAAGCCTGTGAACGCCCCAGGAGGCTTCTGCGCTTCTGGAAGGAGCTTGGTTGGCTCACCTAGCTAACCAATCCTCGACGCATAAAGGACAACTCTCGAGTCTAAATGCGGAAACCGAAGCCCAGAACCAATGCATGTTTTAATACATCTAAATCCGCCTCTTAAATAACTCCCTCTATAGGAGAAAACCACATTAAAATTCGGTTGTGAAGTTTGAAATATCTAAGCGTAAAAGAACAAAAAGCGACTTAATTTTACACAATGTAAAGAAATATCCTTTTAATTTTTTCCAGGGACATTACTGCAAGACGATAAACTTCTAGAGTTCGCCGAACTAGGCACTTACTGTCAGTTCGACTTATTTGGTTGCGAGGTGTCGTACTACCAGCTAAACGTGTCGACGGACATGCCCAGCGATGCCCAACGTATGGACCAAGTGGCCTTGTTGGTGAATGAAGGCAGAGATGATAAGATACTCCTGTCGCATGATATACATACGAAACATAGACTGGTAAGAGAGAGAGAGAGAGAGAGAGAGAGAGAGAGAGAGAGAGAGAGAGAGAGAGAGAGAGAGAGAGAGAGAGAGAGAGAGAGAGAGAGAGAGAGAGATAAGAACATCACAACTTCACTCGCATCGATCCTGTCTTAAAAATGTACCTATTACCAGTTGATAGGTAATAAGTACATAGGTGATGGGGGCGTCCATTAATTAAAAGGCTGTAGATGATGATGTTGATGGGGTTAAGCGAAAAAGTTGTCTATATGTTTAGTGAACGTCCCCCACTCCCCTTCTCTACCACGTAAGATAGTCAGAGATTCGGCACGACCCTTTGACCGCTAGAGCTTTAATTTCCATAATGACTGCATGGATGGCGTAGTGGTTTAACCGATCGCCACGCCGCTTCCTACTACGCCGAGTGTTGTGGGTTCAAACCCCACATGGGACGACACTTTGTGTGATCCACAAATTGTTGTTCTGAGTCTGGGTGTTCTTTGCGTCCGTTTCATGTATATTTGTAAAGTCCCCCGCGACATAGGATATATTCCTAATGCGGGCGTTGTCTTTTTTAAATAAAAAAGAATAATGTTTAATAATTTACCTAGCGATAAGACAAATCGTGGACGAAACTCATTGAAAAAAGATCAATCACCTTTTTTTTCAGATTCGTTACGGCGGTCATGGCTACTCGCACATAATAAACAACGTACTGCCCAAACTCAATTCCATAAAAGGAATACCTCAGGAAGTCATAGACAAAATTACAATAGACAACCCTGCAAGATGGTTGGAGATCAAAAATTAGACAGGAATCTAAAAACACAATAATGAATTTCTTATTAATTCGTTTTATAAATCATAATGAAGTCAGTTTGTAGGTATAAACGTTACTCGAGAACGCCTGAACTGAATACGATTGAGTATTATCATACACCAAATAAAGAAAACGAAATAAATAAAGTAAGGTATTTTATTTACAAATACAATATGTACCTACTTAGTTTAATTTTAAGGAAAACATCGAGTTAAATAAACCATTTTATGTTGAACAATATACGTACATTTATCTAATATTCATTTAAACATTACATTTTTTTAAATTATATTTCAACAATTTAGGATTAATTATATTTATATGTTTAATAAAATAAGAGCAACTTATATTAGTCACATAATTATGATAAGTAACATCTGACATCTCACTTACGACCAACGGCCGACCTGACGGCCAACTCTAGCACCGCTCATTGGTCAATTCAATTTTCCCAGCTTCCTGTTACACGCTTCCGTCCCTGTTAACGAACTCACTCCCACAAATTACAGGAAAGAGAGTACAGAAATGTTACACATCAAAGAGATTTCATATTATACATATTTCGCAGTATGAGTTCTATATTTAATGGAAGAAAGTACCTTTATTAAAGACGTTTCTTGAAAGTAATGTAGCTCAAATATTTGAGATTGAGACCGTTTTAATATGTATATTAATACTACCGTAAAATTATATGTATTATTTAAATTTGAACCACTAAGAATTCACAACACAGTTTGCTACCTGTAAGGTACATAAACCCTAACGACTACGTCACAGATTAACAACGTACAACAACTCGATGACATGACATTTAAAGTAATAGCATCTCTTGCTTGAAGTATTTAGAGTACAATTTTGAATGCACTTATTGTACATGTATCTAAAATTTATTGACCATGCGACTTAATATGTGCCTAATTACAATGTTCGAGGGTATATATTGCAATAAATGTCATCAATCGGTACCATCTAATGGAGGAGTTTTGAACAATATTAATACATAATTTATTTCAGTTAAAATTTAGCATTTCGAAACTTAAATTTATAAAAATACTTTTACGCATGCGCACGTCTCATTAAAAGGCGTATATGTACGTTCCAACTGAGTGAGACGGCTATAGACGATCATATGAAAACTGATACGCTGCACCAGGAGGTTTAAAAACTTTTGTTCCGTATGTTATAAAAAGGAAATAAAATGTTACAAGTTAATTGAATATTTAATCTACTATTGTTCTAATAGGAACTAATGTTTATTCCAAAAGAGGTAGGTAGAGGCGAATTAAACGGCCACAATTTTCCTACTATAACTTTGACCAGAAACGTTATAGGGTGCAAGCCTATCACCGTTAACCGGACATTTACCGGTAATTTGAGATGGGAAAATTATAGGTATTAATTGGGAAAGAAAAGGGATATTGCTTATAGGGATTGTAAAATAGTTCGTGCAGGTGTGTCATTCGAACTGGATGTTGGCGGAAAGTCAGAGCTACCTAACGCCACATAACCCTCCGAGTCTTTTCCCAAACTAGGTTGGGATCTAGCTTTCAGCTTCTACTACGACAGGGCTGAACCTTGATACCTTGACCTGCCATCAGATCTCCACAACCCAAGTACTAGGCGATATCGAAGTTCCGCAGAAAGACTGTTGTGGGACCATTTAACACTCCAACTACCCGTAACGATTGCCACAGATGTTCTTACATCAACTGGGACCGACGGCTTAACATGGTCTCTGAGGCACGGCGGGGTCTCTACATGTTAAGAATGGTCACCCATCCATAAAGTGACCTGGCTAAGATTGCTTAACTTTGCAATCTGTTAACCAACTTCGGTTACAACTTAGCCACGAACTAAATAACACCAAAAATAAAAATCAATTTTTATTTTAGGACGGCATATTAAACTTAGCTTTGTAACACATTTAACATTCCTGGTCTTCATATCATTTGTAAGTTTATTAAGTTAAGGTTAAGTTTTTTATTATATTACACACTAATCTATTATTGTTGCTCTATATTTAGTAGGACATGGGTTTTTAGAGGCTCCCATTGCGTCGCTGTGCAATTTCTACATAACATATTGAGTTGACAAAAATATAAATAAAAAAATGTATGAATATAAATGAATAAAGAGAAATTAAAACGGGCCATGATTGCTGAATGTGGTTTACAATATTATTTATTTTACATTATTTTCACATATTACTTGACGAAAGGTTTTTTTTCAATTTCACCGCCTGAGGATACCACCCCTACACTACTCGACATACAAATTCACAAAAATCGGACTTTTATGATGCAGAAGGAATTTTCAGGATGTGTATTCAATATTTCTACATGATTCGTCTTGTGCTGATTAGTAAGAATCAACTTTCAAACATCAGTATGACAATTTTGAATTAAATTATAAAGAATAATAACCTTACACATGTCACACACGGCCTTCTGATCCCAGACTGGGCAGAGCCTGTACTATGGAAACCAGACTGCTGATAAACATACTTATATATTTCTAAATATATACATATTTTAGATAAATTTACCTCTGGATAGCTCCCAGCCGCCACTCATTTAAGACGAAAGTTAAATTCTTGACTCTCTAGCAGTTTTATTGCATCCCTAAAGTTTTCTGTTTCTGTCCATATCCTTATTTATTCTTTTTTTATATTTTTTCCTTTTCCTGTGACGCGGGGAACTTTAAAAACATGCATGAAACGGACACAAAGAATACCCAGACTAAGAACAACAATTTGTGAGTCAAACAAAGTGTCGTCCCATGTGGGGATTGGACCCACAACACTCAGCGCAGTAGCAAGCGGCGTGGCGACCGCTTAAACCACTACGCCATCCATGCAGTCGAATTTATTATTATCTCCTTAACACAAGAACTTAATTCCCCACCACCCAAAGGAAGACTGGGAGAAAATGCCCGTGACAAGTCCAACATTTTTCAATGAATTGTTATTTGTGCAAAAAGCATGAAATAAATAAATATATACCCAGACACAAATGATCAGGCTCAATTATGTGTCATCAGGAAGGGAACATCAGGATTTCCACACAAGATGGGGTCATCTATAAGCCGTAGATTGCCCGAGGTACGTCGGGGTAAAAGGACTTTCCTTTCAAGGGTATACCTGCTTCCCTGGCTACTGGTACATGGACACAGCGAGCGGTTTTTTTAAGTCGGTTCGAGTCAAACATAACTACCCCACTGGTGGGTGGTATCCGAGATCAGCAAAGAAAAAAGAATGGGTGGGAATCGAACCCACGACCTCTGGCTTAGCAGTCAGGATTACAACCACTAAGCCATCAGGCCAGTGAATAATAGTATAAAAATAAATATTAACCTACCCTTTCTTTGAAATGTTTATACAAATTATTATATGTAACCACAGTCAGCGATCATACTTATTGTTTAAAATCAAGATGGTGAACTATTTTATGACAAAATAAAAAATTTAATAACTCTCAGTCTTCCAGATCTAGCTGTTCTAATTCCTCATCAAGGTCTTCATCGAGGAAGAGGTTCTCGTTGATGGGCACGTCCCCGCCCGTGTCCTGGGCGGTGGGGGAGCCTGCTTTGGAGCTGTCTGTGCCGTTTTCTAGTCCATTGTTCAGCTGATGAAGGCGATCTTCTGTTGCTTTCGTACCAGTATCGTCCACCTTGAAATTACAAAATATTTCATATATATTTATTGATTTGAGGTGTCTCGATATCTTTGGGTTACCACCGCTGTGGAGGAACGGGTGTCATGTCCCACCAACACAAGGGGTTCATCTACACAGGCGAGGAAACTTCCACTGTGCAGTGTATGATTGTGTGTGTGTGTGTTTTGTGTGTCAATATTTATTTAATTTTACCTCTTCAGTATTCATCAGTTATTAAAATGACAAAATTCATTGCACCTTTAACTACTACTGTCTCTCCAAAACACTTTATTCCATTCTAAGGTTGCCTGGAAGAGATTTCTCTTGGCAATAAGCCCGCCCTTTGTACATAACATGTCTGTCATTTTTTATGTATATACTATTTTGTAAAACGGTGTACAGATAAAGAGTTTTCTATCTGTCTATCTATCTATGATTACTAACTAGTAAAATAATGATAATGATAACATTACCGAATTACGAACTCGTAATTCGGTTATGTTATCATTATTTAGCATTAAATTACGTTTTTTTGTGGTATGTGAAAGTTACCACATTATATTTAGGACTAACACAATTTCCTATTAACCCCAATAGACAAAAAAAATCTTTTATTTACAAATGTACTAAAATAATGTAATGTACTAAAATAAAGTAATGTAATAAAAAATTTAAAATTTTGTAAATGTCTTACCTCAGAAGCTTCCATGCCTATAAGCTCGAACTGCACCTCCCTGTATTCCGTCATATCCTGCTCTTCATTGCCATACGTGGCCAGGTCCACCGCCTCGTCGTCTTCCTCATCAGCATCAGCCGCCAGCGCAGGATCGAATGAGAACATCTCTCTACCAGAAAGTCCCACCGCTCTTCCTGCCTTGTAGTCGCTGCGGCGCTGTTCATCTGCCTTGTTGAGCGCCTCCTGGAGAAATATGGAGATCGTTAAGAGCATGGATTCATATTATCTATACAAATAAATAAAAATTTAATTGTCTGTTTGTAATGTCAAAATAATAGGTTTTTTTTTCAAACTCACACAGATATTTGCACGAACCCTATGCCTAAAAACTATTTTAAATATTTTTTGTCTGTCTGTCTGTTTGTTTCTCGGATAATCTTGAAAACGGCTTGGCCAATTTTGACATAATTTTACTATCAGGTAGCTGTCTGTGTAAGGAGCAACTTAGGCTATTTTTTTCTCTTAGAAAAACTCTATAAAATTTTGCCCAGTCCAGGAATCGAACCCACCAATGCAGCGCTTTTCAAATGCCAGGTACAAGCTAGTAGATAAATAACAACATAACACATGACAAATGATCATGCTCATCAGACAATCATTAGCCCCAGGTAGGAATAGAACCCACAACCTCCGGCTTAGGATAAATAACTACCGGAGCAACAAGTCCACGTGGAACTAGATCATGTAGAAGTGTCTTTAATTGTCTCTTAAAAGTTGGAAATAAACTTTTGATACTTTAAGTAAATAAGAGTTTGCTGTGTACTAGAAACTAGAAACCAGAAAAAAAATGTATTTAAAAGTTACGAACCTGTTTGTCACTAATCTTCCTCTTTTTCCATGCCAAGAATGTTTCAAGTGTAATCTTTGTCTGATTAGGTCCTAGTGCTGCCCTCTCCCTCTCAATGAGGTCTACAAGTGATATCTCATTCTTCTTCTCTTCCATTTTTTTCTTGTCTCTCTTTAGTACGAAGCCGGCAGGTAGTGCATGCCTATATATACACTTAGTTCCTGATGGACACTCCCAGAACCATCCATACTTTGATTTTTCTACTGCTTCTAAGAAATGTCTGCAAATCTAAAATTAAAAAAAAAAACATTCTCTTTTTATCATATTATCTTCACTTAAAACTAACTATGTAAACAAAGCAACAAGTAATAATCAAAAAAAGTCAGGTTTTTGATTACAAACATGGCCTATTTTTACAATATCAAAAACTTCTTGAAAACCAATTTTTTTTCCTTATTAAATTTACATACATATATATAACTTGTAAATATTTTTGTCATCACATCACATCAACAGAACATTGACTATTAGACGGTGGTCAACAACACAGAGGAACTTAGTGTTCGAAGAAGAATGCACGTTGTGGATAATGGTTTCCAGTAAGGTCTTATTTTGACTAACAAGCAAATTTACTTTTCAAAAACTATGATAAAGTTACTTACAATGTCAGTAGTAGGTCTCTGTTTATCTCCTTCCCCATGCTTCTTCTCCACCACCTCTTTCAGCTTGTCTTCATCCCAGTTGTCCATGTTATCATCGTCATCTCGCATATCCACATATAAAGATCTCTTCTCAGCCTGTAAACAAAACCGAAACGAAACTTTCAGATTTGTAATATTTTTTATTCTTATATAAAAGGCGGCAGACAAGCAAACGGATTAATTAGGGTATGCTGTACGTACCTTCCTCTCTATAGTCAAATCATGAGAGAACTTGCACTTATCTCCTTTGGTACACTGGCCCTGTTTAAAGAAAGCGCACACCACAGACTTGGGGTCAGTACCTAAAATAGAAAATATTTATTTTATTAAATGTATTTATTACACATTCAAGATATTTAATTTTTTAAAGTTGTGACTTTGTAGATCACTGAAATCCTTTTTTTATGATATAGTAGGCAAAGAAGGACTACCATAAAAATTCTAGAACATGTAAGAAGGATGATCATGAGTTTTATAGGAACTTTATTTTCTAGCTCACCCTATGTTACAAAATTAAACTTAGAACAAAGTTAACAACATATACATATAACAAATACAATTGCCTTTTTAACTTTATTTTTTATTTTAATTTTAATATACTCTATACCTTTCTCAACCTTCTGCGTCTGTACAGGTTTGAATAACATTGCCAGTTCCTTCTGCTCTTTTAATTTTGCATCCTTGTCTTTCTTCTTGTCATCCATGGGCTTGGCAGGAAAGATCCCGCCACTCTTTACTTGCTTCTCAACCTGCTGGATAAACTTTTGTTGTTTCGCACCCTTTTTATTCTTCAGGCCAAAAGTTTTGTCCTGTAAAAAAGTATCTTCAGTAGAATCTTCAACAAACAATCGATAACTATCGAATATTACAGCATCCGAGCTCGTATGGACCATGTACAGACTGTTATCCGGCTAATAAATTTAAAATAAAAAGCAGCGATGTGGTAAAACTTGTAATGGCTGAACAGTACAGAATGAAGTTAACAATGGTAATGTACCGACATCTATGTAATATATAACATAAGTTTAACGCCACAAAAAAGTAAATAGACGTCCTAAGGGCATACGCACTATTGCGCACGCGAATTGCGTAGGCGCTTCAACAATTAGTTATGCAGAGTTGAGAAAAAACATCTAGACGTTGTACAAATTTTATTGTTTACGCCAAGAAGCTATCACTGAATAAAAAATAAAAAAAAATTTAATTTGTGGCGATGAAATAATCATCGCCACGAATTACATCATGTTATACAATTTACAGTTGACAAGAAAATTGACAAGAAATTCGTATTTTGAGGGAGATCTGGAGTCTTTAACTTAGCTCAGGTCAAACTACATAATTTTATGCAATGGGGGAGCCTGAAGATCTATAGTACAAGATCTCCAGCCCTCCCATTGCATAACATTATGTAGATTGTCAACATGTCAGAAGTGTACATGAGTATGTGCAAATAAGTGAACGGTAGCAAGTTTTATTGTATGACAATGTAAATATGTGTGGTTGCACATGAGGAATTATATAGACCAACTTTAATTTCAACTTTAATTTAGTATTTTTTAATTTGTTTGTTTGATATGATATACAAACTACATTTCTTATTACACGGAAAACAGAAAGCATATACCTAAGTACAAATCATAAAAAGAAAAATCGGTTGTGATGCTCGAAAATGCTAGGGACAGTAGGAAAATGTGTATTAGTGATGTAGAATGTCGGTTGCCTTCGTATTTTGCATGCTTTATTCGATTGTTATACTGTACTATTGAGTCACTTAATTTGTATTGTTCAAAAAATGCTTGTACTTGTGTAACAATTTATTCTTCTGCGTTCTCTCTCAAATTTTTGCAATGCCTGGAAAAGGCTTCTAAGTTGGGACTACTACATATAATATTATAAGATCATTGATGTACACTTGGTTGGCAAATAAAGATTTGATTTGATTTGATTTGATTATGTCACTTGGTTCAGAGTGTTCTTCAAGTGTGTTCAAGAAAATTGTTCAGCCATCTAAAAATCATCAGTTTTTTCTAATCATTGAACTAGGACAGTTCATGTAAAGTGTATTTTATTTCTTATTTTATTTCATTTTATTTCTTTAGGCTTGTGACGACTAGAGGGAAAATCTTCAGACATTAAGTCTGTAAATACATAAACACATTTTTTGTAAACCTATTATTTTACTAACCAATAAGAATGATACTATACATATTGTAGTGATAGTTTCTGAACTAAACCAGCGATAAGCAAAGAGGTCCTGTAGTAATAGTTACAGATATAAAAAACATTATGATGGAATTATATATACATTATATAGATACAAGCTACACTGTTCATAACATGAAAATATATTTTTCATAATATTATTACAGATATTGATATATTTGAACTTCACTACAAACATACTTTGTTCAGAGCTACTTTTGAGAGCATTGATGGTATGATTAAAAGCACTATTGGCAGCATTTCCTGCCGGGCCGAAATCCTAACTAAGCTGGATTCATCAGTCATATTTCAATTACAAAATTTAAATAGCCAAATATGTGTTATGCTTTTTACCTATTTAATTACCTCAATAACTTTTTCCTTTTTCTTCTGGTCAGTCTTTTTACTAGGGCCTCCGCTAGCAGCCTTTTTAGGAGGCATGGTTATGTTATTCTTCGACTCGAATGTAGTCTCTAATTTTTACACCACTGCTGTGGGCCGTTCCTAATTTAGCTACAAGGTGCAAAAAAATCTTTAATTTGCTTTGCTACAATAGATATTCGTTTTACCAGATTTAGTATCTTCCACGAAACAAAGCATGCATATGTGTAAAGGAATAACACGTTCCAGTGACTATCAATAGGAAAAAAAGAAATTGTTATGTCTTTGTCACTCTTGGCTGAAGTACATATCTTCCCTCTCTGCACTTCTATCCAAAAAGCTAAATATAAGGCTAACAACCGTTGAACAAAACAGAAACGATTTTTTTCACAGACAGATGAGATGACATTTAGCTTTCTTCCAGTCTAAGATAAAGTATCTAAGCTTCAAGTGTTGGCAGCACTAAGTTCCTTGAAATTTTAGTACTTAGCGCCTCCATTTAATATTGTCTTCTATTATTTTGAACAGAAGTATGGGGTGAAAATACTCGTAAAATTTGTTGTTTTCATAGAAGAACTCTTAGTTTTGTTACATTTCCTTCATAACCAATGTAAAAGGAAAGAGAAATGTAAGACAAATATCATAACTGACTAAGCTTATCGTTTATAGTCACTCGCAATCAGTCAATGTTCCTTTTATTTAGTACAGTTACGTTTCGTATTTTGGCGACATCCAAATCCATGGAAATGATCTCTCAATGTCAACTCAAAACCATGCCAAACTACAGAATAACTACTAATCCTGCACGTTTAAGGCAACTTCATTAAAAATCCCGTTGCTTTAAAAATTAAATAAACGACAGTTGAGCGTAATTTTTTAACTAAGGCACTCAAGGTGTCTTAATTTTTTATTTTGTAGAAAAAAGCTGATAAATAATGGTAATTTTTACTTGTTTAAAAGTATGCTTTCTTGAACTTAATTACGTTGTTTTTAATTCAACAAAGCATACATTTATAATACCCCTTTTATTTGATTTGCTGTAGACAATAATTTTTAACACAGCAACCTCCAATGTGACCCGGGTTTTATTTTGAATTTGTGACGTTTCCTGTCAACCAGTAAGTATAACTTTATAGTCTGTGATAGTCTGTGACCAGTCAGTGATCGTAGTGGTTGGACGTCTATTACAATTTGTTCTTAGCCGTGCGTAAATGAGAAATAAACAGTTGCTTGAATTAGGCGATGGCGAAGGATACTCTGTGTGAATGTAAACAGTACAAATATAAATAGTCTGTGTTTAATTTTCATAAACAACAATCACCATGGAAATTGTGGACATTGAAGAATGTCAGCCCGACCCCGTAGCGGCGACGAGAAAGAAAAGTTTATGGGCTAAAATTAACAATAGGACAACATACAGTTACCTTTTTAACATATTAGTATCGATAGTGTTGCTCACATGTCTGGTATTAGTGCTCTATTTCTTTAAAGAATATCTAAAAACGATTTTATACTGGGTTGACGCACAGGACCCTTGGATAATATTTTTGTTATTTATGGGCCTATTTTTAGTGGTCAGTTTCCCAGTGACTATTGGTTACTTAGTGTTAATAATTACTAGCGGTTACTTGTTTGGAATAATTCAGGGTTTAGGTACTGTTTTGGTGAGTGCGAACTTTGGCGTGGCGATAGCCCACTTCACGTTAAAAGCACTGCGGAACTATCTACCGCTGGACCGGCTTCTGAAGAATGAGACAGCCAGAGCGCTGTTGAAGGTGATCTCAGGCCCTCAGGCCTTTAAAATCGTATTCTTCGCGAGACTGACGCCAATACCCTTTGGATTGCAGAACACAATATTCGCTGTGAGTATTTTGTTTATTATTGTATTAGAACCGGTTTGTAAAAAACTTAGATTGACCTGTGTGCCTTTTAAAAAAAAACATATTGGCATCAACAACTTTATTAGTAAATGGAAACCAAAGCATTGTTTTTATACCATATTCAAATAAATGGCATATAAATGTTGATGAATTAGCTCTTCAGCACTAACACACTTTAAAAAAAAATTATAATTAATGACTAAATGATAAATAGACATAGTCACCAGTGCTGTTACTTTATGAAATGTTTTGTTCTTTTTTATTTTTATGTTAGAATTAATATTAAAACTACTGTGAATATTATAATAAGTGCTAATAGTGCCCTACATTCAAAACCATTCAGTATAAATATTTTTATTTATTTTATATTCTAAAATGTACAGCATATAGCGTATTGATGTTTAAGGAGTTATGTCACTGTAATTTTTTCAAAAAAGCTAATTATTTGTTTTGGCTTAATCAAATTCAAATTAGGCTATTAATTTTTGAACAATCATTAAAAATAATTTGTCAAACTGGTTTGTTACAAAGTAAATCCTTTAAAAAAAAATTGAACCGACTTCAAACAATAGGAACAAAGAGCACGCAAAACCTAGCAGCAATCACAGTTGATTTGCTGTCATTTTTTCATAGAGTTGTGTGTCTGCGAAATTTATCATCAGATCTATATAAAATTTAAACCTTGGACCATATCGGAATAAATCCCTTTTGAACAAAAAAATAATTTAAAAAATCCATCTGTATATGACGAAGTTATGCCTGAATATACATGAAAAAATATATAGAAACATCTGAATTGATGACCTCCTCCTTTTTGAAGTCGGTTAATAAACCCATACTGAGTTAAAACACAATTGAAGCGCAAACTGGATTCTCAATTATTTGATTTATAATTAAAAACTTTTGTATCGTATCACAATAACGTTGAAAACGCAGAACTAGTGATAACTTCCAAGGGTCAAAGCTGACTGCTCCCGCATAATAAAATGTTGTACATACAAATAGAAGTTTAAAGTTGTGCTATTTAGAAACATTATACAATGATAATATATCGAGCAGAAATATAGTAACTCGAAATATCCAATTTTACTCCAGAGATCAAAAACTATTTCAAAAATTCATATCGCAGACCACGACAGCGTCGTTCTCCTAGCTATCATAGGGTGAATAGCAAGATGGCTGCTAACTGTCGCCTGTACAACAAGCAATCAGTTCAATTCTAGGCTTAGGGTTAAAGTGTGAGAGAAGTAGCATACAAGTAACCCTGTGACCTTTATATCGTAATCTAAGTAAACAAGCGGTCTAGTAACTGGTATCTGAATAACATTCGCACATTTACTTCATCATCATAATCACCAGCCCATAACAGTCCACAACAGGACATAGGCCTTTCCTTAGACCTACCGCGGGTGCCAGACGGTTTGGCATAGGGTTTATTTTAAGTTTTCCTTTTCTTTGCAGTGCTTTTATCCTGCGTAGTTTGCTCTCCTAGTCGGCTCTTACCACACCCGTGAGATGAATAAGGGTAATGACATTCCGTATTCTTATTCCGTCACCGCACGGACATTTACTTACAATATGGATATTTCATTTGCTCCGGCTCGACCGGAATGATACCACGGCCTCACGGAAAATATGCCGGTTTTCCGTGTGGTCGTAAGCAGTTAATTTGACCATGTAAGTAAAGTAACCTGAGAGCCAATCAACATCCTGATTCTGGTGGAGGCACTCAAAGACTTGGCAACCACTACGACCTTTCTTTTAGGTTTAGACTTTTCGCAAGTCTGGCGCCAGCGTAAACATAATTATTATTCACAGTGATTTTCTAAATTAGTAGCATATGTGATTACATAATTTTTAAATCATATGATTTTCACAGGTGGTTGTTATTTTATTCCATCCCTAGTCCAGTAGTGGGTAAGCCAATGTATAAACGATAAATTCTATTTATTTCTATGAGTAAATCTTTTCAGATATTTTATAAGTCGGAAATAAATAGGTAAAAAAACCTGTTAATGTGATTCCCAGAAATCCCAGAACAGCACGTGATACACATATATTGTCACATAGGAAACAAACATCGTGTCACTGATACTTTGAGTAGATAGAACTAAAAATACATACATGAAGCAATTTCTTTGTAATATATCTGTCTATTTTTATCGACTACAAAGTAGGAGTTTCTTAATTCGACAATATTTCTTATGTTCCCGCGGAACTCAATATTTTATAAACCGATTTGTAAATATATTTTTTATTTGGGAGGGTGTTAATTAAGACTCCGCGTGGTGACGGATTAAGAATACGGAGTGTCACCACCCCTATTCATTCCGTGGGCGTCGTAAGAGCCGACTAAGGGAGCAAACTACGCAGGACAATAGCACTGCAAAGAGAAGGTAAATTTTAAACAAACCATATACAAACCAGTCTGTCCAGTGTTTTATAGTAGGCCAAAACGTCCTTTCTAAGGCGATGCCTAAGTCTATGTTTTTATTATTTCAATTAGTAGTTTTTTTTAAGACTTCTGACATCGTAGATTCCAGTATTCTTGTAAAAACCTCAGCTGCGTTAAATATTTCCTTTAAGAACGGGTTTACGTTCATAGTTTACTTTATGAGGTTCGAAACTACAATTATATAACGCTGCCACCTTCTTTTCATGACTTTTACTTTATCCGTGACTTTAAAATTACTATTAATAACTGGCATACTGATTACGTTAGCGTATTGCGTAAATATACCTATATACGTAGATATCGTATCAGCTGGGGAATCCCCTATAATGTTCTAGTGCGTAATAATAATAATATCAATTTGCAGAATATGTGGTAGTCACAGTAGGTGATGCACAATATTAAAAGCACAAGACACATTTTTTAATCGTAATCCGACCCAGTAAAGTTATGACCATCTCATATACATATGTTATGTATAACGTGTGCGTTACCCCAGCAAAATAATGTCGAAAATGGTCATTTAAACTTTATAGATAATTAGTTGCTCCCCTTCTGTAATTGTTAAGCACATTTTTAAATTTGTTTCACTTAAACTTTTTTAGTTATTTCAAAAAAACATTTCCTGCTGGGGTAACGTTTGAAACGTTACCGCAGCCAGACATTTTCTTTTTTAATTGTAATATTGAAATAAATTTTAGCTAAATAATTAGTTATCTGGACTAGGT